GGGAATCAGGGTAAAGGCCATTTACACTACATTCTGGCAAAGACTCTTGCTCTATGCTACTCATGAACTGAATCTAAAAGGAATGGAGTGATTTGTTTGCTAGAGGAATTATCTCTGGTTGCTCCTAATCAGGCCTGTGGTGGGAGTGGAGGGAGAAAGTGGGGCAGGGAAGCAGGAACCATGTGTAGCTTGGGGCTCGAGAGCATTTGAAGCCACAGACAAGGCGAGTGTGAATAAAGCCAATGTAACTGTTCAAAATACCGGTGCAATTAAACAGAAGCTTCACACGGTAGGAAAGGTGCCTCAAGGAAGACACTGCTCCCACCACGCTTGATTTCCAGGCTATGAGATGCATGGAAAGGATCTTCTTTAAAAAGAGAAAAGTACAGCCACAGGAGTGCCTTGATTGAAGATGTCCATGCAGGGAAATGTTTCTCTGGTTCAGAGGCACAGGAACTAAGAGGCCACTGTAGCCAAGGTCCAGATGAACTGGCAGCCAGAACTTGGTATCATGCACGTGGCGCTGGATTTGCAGGCATGCACGAAGAATGCAGTAGCGATGTGGTTGCAGAAGCTTGCACAAGGTTCCAGAGAAAAGCTCTTGTCAGGTTCTATGTGGCAGAGACAGAATCCTTGGAGGGCGGTCCTCGTAGGGCAATGCCTGAGGCAGTAGAAGTGAGGTCCAAGTTGCCATGGACACCCTAGGATGGTGGTGGTGCCATAAGCACTGCATGTATATTAAGAAAAGCTACAGGCACTGACTGGAGCCAGAGTGAAAGGTCATGTGTGCCAAGTCATAGGGATAAGTATGACCAAGCCCATAAGAACCCAGATGGTGCCAATGATGCAACCATGTGCTCTAAATTCTGGGCTGTAGCTACAGTGTTTATAAAATATTTGCCTTACTGGTTTGGGGTACGGCTTTGTTCCAATCCTTCCTTACTAACCACCTCCCCTACTGCATTCCTCTCTTGTAGAACAAGAATATTTACTCTGCGCCATTGGGTGTTGGTAGAATGCAAATGCTTTATTACTTAAGGGCTCATAGCTAACAGTACCTCGAGTCTTAGAAGAGACTGTTGACCTTGTGACTAATACTGAGACTGTTGAAACTGTGGGGGGGATTCTTGAAGTTGGATTACTCATTTTGTGTGGTCAGATGGCCAGGCATCCACTGGGACTAGAAGTGGACTATTATGGTATGGACCTGAAATGCCCCCAACTGATGCGTTCCAACACCTCTGCATAAGGAACTTTTCACTGCGGTCACAAAAGTATCTGAAATACACAACCTAAGGAGGGGGGCTGAAGGTTTGTTTTAGCTCACAGGAGTGGTGATTTTAGTCCATGGTCACCTGGGTCCATTGCTTTTCAGCCAGTGGCAAGTCACTCACATCATGGCAGTGGGACATGGCAGAAAAAAATGGGGGTTGGGGGAGGGAGCTTTCAAGGGCATGCCCTCAGTGACCGACTTTCTTCGACCAGGCCCTGCCTCTTAGTCTCCACCACCTGCCAATAATTCCATAAAACTATAAACGTGCTAATGGATCAGTCCACTGACAATGTCAGCCCCTCACATTCACGTAGGGAGTTGAGGCTGGGCAGACAGATGCGAAGTGAAGGAAACTGTAGCGGTGTCTTGTAGCTTCGTCTCCGACCGTCAAAAGCGCTCTTTGAGTTGAAGGTCCAGTTTTGAGGAGCTGCCGTTGAGCTCTTTCTGTTGTATCAGAAGCTGAGGTGCCGGGGCCGATCTCAGCTGCTCCACGTGCACACCAGCGAGGGATCTGCGTCCTCTAAAGAGCCTGGCTTACTTATACCCCCTGCACTGCGGTTTTGACCCTCTCTCGTGAGCTTTTCAAGAGGATCATGGGAAGAAAAGCCCTAAAAGAGAGATCCAATGTACTATGAAAGGACCACATTACTCCATGACTATTCTATCCACCTCGTAAGTATGCATAAAAACCTCTTCTATAAACATCAAATCGGAGATTTCATGCTGCGGTCTTCTCATTTGAGTTTGCCTGTCCCAAGCTCTCCGGACGATGCCATCCTTGTGCCTTGCTTTACTTAACAAACTTCTTAAACTATCCATGTTTCTGAGTAGAATGATTTCCTTCAAGAACAAAGAACTGAGGGAAAAGTGCATCCGAGCCATAACTCAGGTAGCAGTATGAGCATAGGGCCATGCTTTCTGTGCGAGTCTCAGGCTCCGTGTGCGCTCTCCATCCTGGCTTGCTCGGCAGTTCTTTTTTCTGTGTGGGGTTTTCAAAGACCTTGCTGTGTGTGAATTCTTATGGAGGAACTTCTCAGGCATGGGCCACAGCAGTGCTGCGCTCCATCTACCTGCTGTTGTCACAGCGAACCACCTAGTATTTAACCAATGTCTCTATGCTGAATATAGGGAACTGTGGGGAGATTTCCACTCCCACTCCCGAGTTATATGGAATAATAATGTCTTGCTAAAGAGGACATGGCCACAGGAGAGGACACGGTCATCAGAGGCTTGTCTTCCCTGCAATGCCCTGAGTCACTTTCTTGTGTCTGATAAAAGCTAGACCAGCCACATGAGACCCTGTGGAGATGAGACAACTCTGAAGTGACACCATAGTAATTAGCACATCATGGTGACCAGGCTTGCTCTTCAGAACCTGTCTTGCAGTCCTTTGCCTGCAACCCTGTCTGCCTCACCTTTGGACACTAAATACCACCCTTGCTTGATCTCTACTTCCACCTAGCCATATTGTCTTTTCTTTCTCTCCCAGGCATAAAAACCCCAGAATGGCAGATGCTCACATTTTACTAAAGTCTCATGTAGAATGTGTGTGTGTGTGTGTGTGTGTGTGTGTGTGTGTGTGTGTGTGTGTGTGTGTGTATGTGTGTGCATGCGCGCACGCGCACAGGGGTGTGAGTAGTTTGGCTATAAGCCCTACCTGAAGCAGGCCCAGGATCTCAAACTCATCCCTTCCTCACAGGCTGAGTTGGATGCCCGGATGTCTTGATGTGGGGGAATTATCAACCATGCCGAGGAGTGGGTGTGGCTCTGTTCAGCCTGGGCAGGCTCTAACTTTTCTTTCTCTAGGTCCTTCAGTCTCTGGCCCCAGGTGAGCGAGCACTCTCATGTCTTGTCATTTTAAGGGACAGAACTGGCAGGATGCCCAGTCTCTGGGATCGTACCCAGCCTGGTCCCTTAGTTCTAGCATGTATAGATGGAAGCACAAGGGAGAGGGGATGGAATCTGAGACTCCCCAGGTGAAGAGGCTGTTCTCACCTCTCCTCCCCAGCCCAAGGCGTGAGTAAGGGACGCCTTTCTCTTCCCAGTGTCCTGTTTTTCTCTTCTGGATGTGGAACCAACCATCCATCTCCCAGGACTTGCCCTTTGGCTACATCATTTAAAAATGGAACCAAATTTGATCCCCAGTTGCTTAAGAAAAAAACAAAATCCACTTGCACTTCCTCTGTAACACAGCTTGGATGCAACGGTCTGAATGCTGTGGAGGTCTGGCCTAAGAACGGGAGTATAGGTTTTAACACCGTCTTCTGCCTGTATCTCCTTTCCCAGAACTTGGGCCCACGGATGAAAGTTCCTCATGTTCAGATCTTTATGGCCTTAAAGGACAGCCCTGACTATAAAGCTGTAAGCTGGATCCTGATCCAAATACTTTATTCCTGTAAGCAAGCCTGTTCCATGACTTACCATACTTATCACTGGATAAACATTTGGTAGGGAATGAAATTAAGTATAATCTCATTTACAAGGGTACAATTTGAAAAGCATTAGAAGGTCCCTCTAAGACTATTCCCCCAACCCTGCTCCTGAAAGCTTTTCACTATTCCTGGTTGTAAAGGATGATCATCCAAATGGGAAAATGGAAGGATGAACAATTAGATGCTAAGTCCTGAGATCTACATCCCAAAAAGGACTGGCTCCGGAGCCTGCCGATGCTGGGATCAGGGAACCAATTTTAAGACATTGGGATCCACAAGTTCATGGGTTACCACTAGCTAGTTCTCTGTTAAGTGGAAAATACTGTAAAAAGAACAAATGTTCTGGGCTCATCTTTCCATCACGACCTCAACAGTGAGGCTCCTGTTGGAGAATATTATTTTAAGTTGTGTTTCTTTTGTTTATGTTTTTGCATTTTTTTAACTCTGTGAAGCTGTGTTACTGTGCCTTCCTAAAACATCTGATGGCCTAATAAAGAGGTGAATGGTCAATTGAGGCATGAGAGAGAAATAGGCAGGGCTGACAGACAGAGGGGATAAATAGGAGGAGAAATCTGGAAGGAGAAAAGAAGTAGCCAGAGAAGGAGGAGGACTCCAGTGGCCAGCCACCCAGCTACATAGCAAGCCACAGAGTATGAGTAAGATTTACAGAAGTAAGATAATGGGAAAAGCCCAGAGGCAAAAGGTAGATAGGATAAGTTAAGTTAAGGAAAGCTGGCAAGAAACAAGCCAAGCTAAGGCTGAGTATTTATAATTAAGAATAAGTCTCCATGTGTGATTTATTTGGGAGCTGTGTGGCAGGTCCCCAAAAGCAACCAACAAAAACAACCAACAGCAGGCTCCTGTCCAGCTTGTACCACTGTGTTCTCTCTCCCCTGAGTCCTTAGGAGGAAACAACCATTTGCTATGACCTCCAGCTCCACAGAGAAAGCTGCTATGTCCTAAGCTGTAGTACAGGGGTAACACATAAAATCTTCACACTCCCCCCCCCCCACCCCCGTGTATTTTCTCTTCCTTCTGCTTTTTCTTTCTGGTAGTTGGTAGTAAGTGACTTTTGCAGTCAAGTGTCCCTTGTCCTTGGAAAGCTTCATTGTCATGGGAGTTCTTGCTGGACTTTAACGTGCTGGATGTGTTAGCCCATAGCTTAGGCTCTGAAAAGGCAGATTCTGCCCAAGGCCCACAGTAGACAAGAATATACGCTCTCACAGTATCTGGACAGCTACCTGTTGTTTATTTTGTTCTGCTGTTCAGCTTCCCTTTTCCATATTCAAGTTCATAAAAATATGGAATTTTTTCACGAATTTGCCTGTCTTCCTTACGTAGGGGCCGGCTAATCTTCTCTGCATTGTTCCGATTCTCGTATACATGCTGCTGAAGCGAGCACTCCACTTCCTTTGAGTACACTGTAGACTTTGTCGTGTTTCTCTGCTTCACTAAGGAAGGAAGCAGGGTAGAAAGGAGCCAACAAGCAGGGAACAGATGTAGAGAAGGGTATAGGATGTGATTTTTGATAAGAAAGAGCAAAAAGAGCCAGGTGTGGTGGTGCATGCCTTTAATCCCAGCACTCGGGAGGCAGAGGCAGGCGGATCTCTGTGAGTTCAAGGCCAGCCTGGTCTACAGAGTGAGATCCAGGACAGCCAGTGCTGTTAATAGAGAAACCCTGTCTCAAAACATCAAAAAAAAAAAAAAGGAGTGGGGGCATAAAAAGAAAAGACACTATTTATGAACAAGGAAGGATTGCGGACAGTAAAGTGAGATTTCTGTTTTAAAGTGAAATGACTGGATTCTTTCCAAAATGGAAAAGGAAAGATGAAGGCAAACCAGAAACCTTAAGGATGTTGCAGGTCTAGGTAAGTGGACAATGAAACTTGAGGATTATATGTAACACACACACACATTTAAAGAATTCAAATTCTTTGCAGGGCAGTGGTGGTGCATACTTTTAATCCCATACCAGAGAGGCAGAGGCCAGCCTGGTCTACAGAGTGAGTTCTAGGACAGCCAGGGCTGTTACACAGAGAAACCCTGTCTCAAAAAAACAAAAACAAAAACAAAAAAGAGTTTAAATTTCATAAAGTCAAAACTCAGCATACTGATATAAAACAGAAACCCGGCTCTTTATTTAGAACAAGGAGGTTTTCTTAAGATATTGATCTGTTCTTTGTAACATTTATAAGAACCGGCTTAAAGAACAAATGTTTCATGCTTATCAAGATAATTACTGTGTTTTCTATTGTTTATCGGGCTTTTTAACTGTGTAGGAACCTGAGTCTTTAATAAAATCAGGGCCTATTTACATGTTTATTTTGAATGTTACAGAGAAGTTGGAATGAGGGCCCACCACTTCCTCTTTGGGATGGATGCAAGTTTCCTTGCAGGGGAGGGCAGGGTGTTCAACCAAAACTTGGTGGTCAAACCTGAAGAGGATAAAGGGACTAAGAAGATATCCAGCATTTTGGTCCTTGCCCTGCAAGGTCATCCAGGACCTAGGAGATGACATGGCATCTCTAAAGTGGCCCTAGAACTCTGATATGCCACCTGTCCTGTTGATCAGAGAGGCATTGGGTCACCAGGGGTTAGATGCCAATGGTGCACATCCTGTAAAGAGGAGAGTCACCCTGGGAAGAAATGTCCCCTCTGTGTCCCAGAGAAACCACATGTCAGCAAGATCCTGATACCTCAGCAAAGAGACAGAGGGGCACCTTCAAACCCCCAGAGAGTAACCCTACTGAGTCAGGATTATCTTAACAGTAAAAGAAGGAAAGATTGTCGGCCACCTGCATGGTCTCAAACACCCAGCAGGAAAGTGTAACTCAAGAGTGAAGTTAGGGCCAGTGAGAAGGCTTAGCAGGGGGTGGTGCTGCCCATCAACTCTGACTACCTGAGTTTAATGAGTTTAATCCGTGGGACCCTCTGGGCAAAAGGCGGTTGGGTTGGGGAGAAGGTTGGGGGGCAGGAGGAAGGAAGAGGGGGATCTTTGATTGGTGTGTAAAATGAATGAAAAATTTTAAATAAAAAAGAGAGAAATCAACTCCCACAAGTTGTCTTTTGACCTCCACATGTGCTCTCTTGCTCTCTCTCTCCCCCTTCTTCCTCCCCCCCACCCCCGCCCCGTATGTAATAGAAAGTAAAGTTAACTGATAATAGTAAAGGTTCTACAAGTGCCCAACCAGGCTTCTGACCTTGGCCTGGCTGAGCTGAGTGCTCCTAAGGCCCTCGGAGGATAGCACTTCTGATTGTCAGTCCAGCCTACCTAAGGCCTCCAGTGGCTGCCAAGCATCAAGGGCATTACTAATTTGGTTCACTTGTCCTTCAGAAAACCCCATTTTTCAGAAAGTGCTCATGGTGAGTCCTATTCAGAGCAGACAACCAACTGAGAACTTACATATCTTCTTTAAAAGAAACCTCAAGGGCCAACGTCAAAGGAACAACCTATGGACTCTCGATCCTAACTCCTGAGTTTGGAGTTTTCTTTATGGGATGTGTCTGATAATACTTATGCTCACTTGTACCTGTGCCTCACTAAATAAATCCTTTCTTGACTGCTTTGAAAATTCTTTTAAGATACTGTATTTTTTCTGTTAAACTAATTTGTTAAAACAAAACTAATTTGTCTCTGAGTGAATGGAAATCTGCTCTGTTTAGGATCTCCTCTGTTGGGGATACTCTCTTGGGGGAATGTCACCACAGTTAGGTCTGTCATACTCATTCTTAGGCTCAATCTACAGTCTCCACTTTATTCCAGTTTTCAAAATATATCCACTAACTTTTAGCCCTGGGACCCTCGGGGCGTAACTGGGTAGCTAGCACATACTCAATGGTCATAGCTCAATCCATCTCCCATCCTGGTTCCCTTTGCCTTATGGGGGCTTCCAGAAAAACAAAACAAAACAAAAACTAAACATCCAGATTCTCCTCATGGCAAAACAGGCTTTTGATTCCTGTTCTCTTCCCTCCTAGTTGTTCCTGTCCCCGGGTCCCTTTTTCTCACTGCTAGAATTTCCCAATCATTTCGTGGATGGATGTGACCATGGGTGGCCTCTATGTTCCTCTGGTAAAATGTATTTCACTCTGCAATTTTGGTCCTGCTTCCTACAATGGCTGCCCTGGCTTGGTTCTTTCAGAATTCAATAAATTCAGCTTCAGATGGTCACGTGATGAAAATATTGATCCATCTCTCCTGGACCAGATCTTGAAGCATCATACTCTACACTAGATCAAACAGGACAAAGTTTCTGTGGGACTTTCCAGTCAACAAAATATGCAGCTACTTATATCAACAGTTTATGTAACTGCCTTGGTTACCAACATAGACAGCAATGACACTGGGTCCATAGGCAGGGTCTATGTCTTAGGAAGTTACTGAAGAAAGAGACATCTACTTTGCCCTCTTATAAAAATATAAAGGTCCATATTGATTGAGGGAGGGAATGAGACCAGGTAGGCAGATAAGACTAATTGATACGACTAGTTAGGATCACGCATCATCGTTGGCCATGGTAGAAGAAACAGCAGCTGTATCTTGGAGGCTGTGGCTTTTGATTGTCAAAAATGGCCCTTGGTGACCAAACATCCTTGATGCTACAGTTGGGTTCTTCCCACTATATCAAAAACAGAGACTTTGAGGAATTTCCCAATTGCCACATTTGGACATTAGTGGAGGGTTTGCATGGTCAAAAGACCCTGGCTTCATTATAATATAATTTGTATTGCAACTTTGTCCTCCTGCCTCTCCAGAGCTTTTTAAGGAATCATGGGAAGAAATACCTTTAAAGGATGAACGGGTGCACCATGATTTGGGAGAGAAAAGCGTCCTCTTATTCTCATGAATATATCTCATATATACACTCATATCTCATATCACTTATATCTATTCATATAAACCTCTTACAGCCATAGCAAATCTGCCATCTCTTGCTGCTGTCCCCGTCTCAGGACAGCCCATTGTAAGCACTCTGATGTGTATCATCACTTTGCTTTGCCAAATACACTTCAGCTTAAAGTGTTAATGTTTCTCAGCTGAATTCTTTCTTCTGAGAAGAAAAGAAACAAGGAACTCTCTAGTGCAGTAACAGAATCACCTGCCCAAAGGCCACCTCTGAACATGTGCTCGAGGCTCAGCCACGAACACGCAACAGTTTGAGGGACACTTCATATCCAAACAGTACAGCGTCTGCAGCTTCTCTTCACTCTGCTGCTCTAACCAGGCATTGCTGCCCTGTGAAGAAACAATTTACTTCTACTCCACCCTCACGTGCACCACCCAGGTAGAAGGGGTAAGACTCCCAGCCCTTGCTCTTCAGCGCCATGTTGGCATCCTTTCTCCCTCGCCCCTTCTTCTCTAACACTGAAGTCCACAGTCATACTGAAAGATGTCCTCCCATCCTTGTGATTAGCATCACTAACTCCCAAGCTCCCCCAACATGTTCCTCCAATCACAAATCTTCTCCAAAATCAAGCAGATCCCATGAACACTGTGGCTTCTCAGTACCTTGCTTTCCACTTGTCCAGCGACCATGTCCTCAAACCAAGCTGTCAATCCCACGGTCACACTATGCTTTGTGATGGGAATTCAGTGGTGTTGGTGATAGCCCTGGAGGTCCTAGCCCGCTGGAAAGGAATTACTCATTTCTAGATAGCACCAGCTCCTGAACTACAGTCCTTCCAGAGCCTCAGCTCCAGGCACCTCACCTTCTGCCCACGAGCTTCTATATCTCCACCTTATTCTCTTTAGTACAAATACTCCAAATATCGTTCAGTCCCAACCTCCATTAAGCTGTCCATAAACTCCTGGTCCGGCCGGCACCTCCTTATGACTACACTGCCCTCAGCATCCATCCACATCCCTACCCACCATCATCACACACATCCTCAAACTGTAAACTGACTCAAGCTCTCCAGCTACTCTGTGCCCACCCCTAGAAGCTGAATGTAGAGGATAAAACCGAGGACCACTCCAGCTAGGTTGTAATAATGCTCCTCAAAAGAGATACTTGTACTTACTGTCTTTGTTCCATCTCTGCTTCCTGGACTCACTCCAACAAAGCTTTCCCTTCCACCAGTTGATCAAAAGTCATAAAAGACCTCCATGTTACTAAAACCAGAGGTGCATTTCCTGTCACCTTAAAGCAATGGTATTTGACGTGCCCTTCTGCTTAGTATATGTGTTTTCTACCTAGCTTTCCATGGTCTCCATCAGCTTCCCTGTTCATTTTTACCAACTCTGTGAGAAAATACTAGCCTTTGTTCTATTTAAAGGTGATGAAACCGAGTCAGAGAGGAACCAGGCAACTCACCAGACTTGTCAATGGTAAAGCCAAGATCTGTCTTTCTCTCCACCTTCCAGGTCTTCCCCATCCAGTCATCCATCATCTCATCCATCCACTCCTCTAATCATCTGTCTCTGTGACTCCCAATCTCCTCAATACTTTCCCCCACTCTGGCCATCTGCTTTTTCATCTGCTCGGGCACCCACGCATGCAGTCACCCATCCTCTCCTAAGAGACTCATCATCATCCATGTCTCCCACAGTGGGGAGGAAGTTGGAGACAGCAGGAGGCAGACACACTGGCATGCAACTTGGGTCTAGATATTTACTCAATGCTTCCAGATTTGGCCTTAGTGGCTCAGCAAAGGGGAGGGACAGGGAGGGGACACACAGGACATCCTTCAGTCACTGGAACTTCTGGAAGAGGCAGGTCTTGAAGTGTCCATTGCCAGTGATGACTGATCAGTTGGAACTGCAAGAGACAGACATTTAGCACTTCATGCTGCAGACTGAGCACCCACCCACACCACCTCTTTTCCCAGTCTGGTTTCCACTCTCCATCCTCACCATGAGGAGAAGTCCTGTGCTTTCCACTTCTCCTGGGAGTCAAGCACATCATTTTTCTGGTCCCCATCAAAGTTTCCACAGGCCCCACACAGCAGGGCTGCATGGTCATCACCGACCATCACATCCAGCTGCCCACTGGTTCCAAGCCGGACCTGGACCCCTGCCTTCTGATGGACGAGCATGGCGCCATCGGGCATCCTCCTCACAGACACAGATGTTAACACATCAGCTGGGAGATCCACTCGGAGACCATTCACCTGGTGTAGGGGGAGGGGAAACGGAGACGTGAGACCTGAGTGACAATAGCTGAGGGAACACCACACTGGAGTCCTCATGCACAATAACAAAGCAAAGCAGCGGCAGGGACAGGTGCCGGAAGGGATGGGTCCTGGAGAAGAGGATTATCTGGAAGATGGACAGGTGGGAAGACAGCTGGAGATGGGTGTCCACACACAGCTCACTGTGCATGCTCATGCTGCTCTAATGTAAAATTAATGAATGAATTTATGTGTACACTCATGCCTTGACACAGATGTGGAGGTCAGCTGGCACTTGTGGGAGTTGGTTCTCTCCTTCCACCATGTAGCTCCAGGGACCAAATTCAGGTCCCATTGGCTTGGAGGTTCGCTTCCCCACTAAACCATGTCCCTGGCCCAAAAGTAACTTATTAATCTCTGGAGAATATCTTTCTGTATACATTGATAAGGATAGAAAGAAGAGGTGTGGAGGCATGGATCAAAACTTCTCCACAACTTTCCAAGGTCTGGTGCAAAACATTATTTACCAGACAGATAAACCAAGCAGGAATTCCAGACTTAGACTATGAAGTCCTAGTTTTTAAAGTGGAAGACCCCCAGGTTGCCTGTAAGTAACAGGATCTCCAGCAGAAGCAATTGTATCATCTCTTCTTGGAGGGCCCGTGTCTGAATGAAGATAATAATCCCAGCAGTGTAACAACCGTGGGGCACTTTCAGCTTCTTATCAGAGGCTGCAGACTCAGCAGCCTTGTGATCGTTTTCCAACTTCTGTCTGTTCTCCTCGATGGAGTATGAGTGGCTATAGACGCTGGAAGCAAGGAGCTGAGAAGGATGGATACAGAAAAGGACACACAGACACTCAGTGGATGGGAAGTCTTACTGGCTACAAGCTTTGTGGTAAGAATTGGTTCAGTCATGTCAGTGACCCAGCCCAGGGCTTTGAGAAGGGCTGAGTTTATTCACAAAAGCTGAGATTCCCTGGTACCTCCGGGCTATCAGGCTGTGATCCAGGTACTGGCAAGAAGTGGTGATCTGGACTGGTCTGGGTCCCTGGTCAGCTGTGCTCGCACTCTCAGGAGGACAGCAGTGGCAGCCGTTTTTGCCCATGCTAGGCAGACAGTGCCGATGTAACCAGCATCACTGGAAACTTGAAGTGTGCTCATACGAACCTCCCTGAACATACTTCCCAGGCTTTGTCGTGACTGTTGCTGGAGGATGTGTGGACTCTGATTCCAGTAGGGGACTCCTGGGAGTCAGTGCCTGTGTCTCCAGGACTGCACTGGGTGGCTCCTTCCCTCTTGCGGGTTTTGCCTCCTGTCCTTCTACTGTAATCTTTCTTAGTTATTAGGACAACTCTCTGCTGAACCCTCTGAGGGAATCCCGGTGCCTCCCTGAGAAAGGCTCAGAGGGACCCTGACATGTGACCTCAGCCTGGCCAATCATAGCATTCTATACTTAAGACCACAGTGATAAACTCCAAGAGGGGACAGACGGTCCAAACCAGCCTAGTGAGGTGCACCACTGGGACTTTTGTTGGATGACTTTGTGTTCGGGTGGCAAAGATGGTAGACGATAGGCCTAGGGCAGATGCTGATCATCTTTGCCCCGTAAGAGGAAAACTCGGAGAATGAAGGTGATTAAGTGGTAAACAAGTCTGAAACCTCAGGTGTAAACTCCTGACAGTGTCGGTGGGGTGTCTGGGGCCGTCTCTGGGCTTCCCAGATATGGAGCCAGTCCATTCGTTTCCCCCAAGGCATTTGGTTTCCTGTCACTGGTAACCAGTGGAGGCTTGATTAAGACCAACAGCAAAGCTATGCTGTTACTCGAATGTAAGAACTCAGGCCAAGGAGAGGGACCCAGGCTGACCTATAGAGACAGGTACAAATCCAGAAAAACGTATAGAGACCTGGATGAAGGAGACAGACCGCAAGGCCACTGGGTAGCCAGGATGTTGGCCACTGTGACAGGAAGAAGGAGAGCCCAGGGAAGACATCCCTGCCCTTTGTGCCCAGGCTTACCCACACGCCCTTGCTTTGGGTCACAGTCACAATTCCATCCTCGAAGAAGATGTGGACCTTGTCCACAACATTGTCATTGCCATGGCAAGGCTGGACATCAGCAACCACACGGTACCAGGGCACAGTCTTCTGGAGTCCCGGGCATCGAGAAGAAAGCTCATAGACACCAGGGGAGCTGATGGCATTGTGAGCCCCATCGAAGGTGGTGAGGTTGGCCCCCACAGAGATGGAGCAGAGGCCACGGGCAGGCTGGCAGTTCCGGACTCCTCCTTGGAGCTCACAGATGTGGCCAGATGGGCAGCCAGCTGCATGGCATGTCAGGCCGGTTCTTGAGGAGCAGCAACAGCGCTCACTGCAGTCTGAAGTCATCAGTGAGGTGTTCACCTGTGCACAGAAAGGGTGGATTATGTGCATTTGCATGGGGAACCCATCGAAGCTCCCAGTAAGAAATGGTGTGTGTGGTAGAGTGTCAATGGTCCTTAGAGGCCAAGCAGTCTATACCATCACCACTCTGCCTCCCCCTTCAGATTGTGCCTGGTTACTGTGAGAACAAGCCTGAGTTAAGCCAACTGGAGAATGAAAGACCACATGGAGATAATGTTACCGGCTCAGGCTATTTGCTATGGTTTGAATATGGCTTGTCTACCTGAACTCATGCAAGAGCTTACTCCACAAAGTGTTATGTATGAAGAGGTTGGAAACTTCATGTTTAGAAGTGAGGACTTTGGGGCTGATTAGATTAATAAAGTCACCAAGGTAGAATGCCCCTGATTGAAACATGGTGGCTTTTAAAGGAGAGGGAGGGACCACACATTGACAGAGGCATACACATGCTCCCACCATGGCATCATGCAGGGGGGGCTTCATGAAAGCCTGCATCATGAGTGCTTTTTAGACTACTAGCCTTCAAAACTTCGAGCTTCATAACCCCATTTTCTCCACAAAGTAGCTTCCATTAGCTGTTTTCTTACAGCAACAAAGCAAATGCATTAGTCTAGAAACCAAACAAACTTCATGGGACCCATCAGGTGAGTATAATACACAAAAGCAAAGTGAGGAGATAGAATCCTTGGCCCATACTGGAAACACACGGTTCTAAAAACAACTAAAACTGGCCTAAACAACTGACTAGAAGTGACTGGTAACACTGCACAGGTTGACTGTATATGTAGGAGTGGACAGTACATCCCCACAGTGTGCTGGTGTGAGAGCAGAGAGGACACTGCCCTGGGAATGCGTCTCCGTGTGTAACAGGCCCCAGACTTTAACACCACTGACACCATGTTAGAGATACCATTCTGACCTTAGAACCCAGCACGTAGGCCCCAACGCCTGCCAACATGGAAACAAAGACCTAATCCATGGAAGAGACCTGGTCCATAGTTCCAGAAAAGTCCCTAAACCTTGCTTTTTGGTGTCTTTAGTTCTGCTTCTTACTAACTGAATTGTGACAACCAGGATGTGATTTTAGTACATAAAAAACAAAGGGCTGTAAGATTTGAGGCTAAGTGATTTGGACAAGTTCCCCATGCAGATGCCGGCTGACAATAATGGCTTGGTTTTCAGCTTTGTCTACGTGCTGGTCTCTGGAAGACTCACCTTAACAACACATGAACCTTCTCTGTCTCTTCCCTCACTAGCTGCTCCGCCATGTCAGTGTCCGGCTCCTTCAGCCCTCACAGACCCCTGCTCTCTGGTCCTAGGCTCTGCAGATAGTTTTGTCTTCTAGCTACCTTCTACATCTGGTGATTTCATCAGATTCTATGAAAGCAATGCAGAGTCTGACCCTCACTTGGCCCCTGGCCCAGAGAGAAGTAATCGCTGTAGAAGACTTTACTGGAACAACTGGTGAAATATGGTTAAAATCTACAGATTAGATAATTGTGTTGAGTCAACATTGCTTTCCTGGTTTGGATAATTGTCATCTATGTCATATAAATCCATTTCCTTAGTTTTAAATGTGAGTTTAGGAGACTCAGGTAATGCTCAGGAGTAGGCTAAAAGGTAAATGAAGGGGGCCAAAACTGGGATGGGGAGCACAGCTGGTTGTGAGAGCCCTAGGAGGCTGCAGACCTAAGCCACAGGATCCCTGATGGCTTCCAGGAGACAGTGAGACCCAAAGGAAGGAAGGAAGGAAGGAAGAAGAGTTTGGCTCCCTTCACAGCTGGCATACGTTGACTAGGAACAGTCTCTCTGTAAAATGGGAAGAACAGCAATCATGTCTCTCTGCTGGACTGCTGTGACTACAAGACAAACTGACATGTCAAACACACTTAGTCACACAAAGAGCTTTCAAAAAGCATCAGCAAGGATAAATTAACTCTCAAATCCCAGAGCACACTGTTGAATGATTGGTAGCTGGGCCACCCACTGCCCTATTATAACTTCTGTTCTGTTTGCTGAATGTGATGCAGGGGAGGATGAGGCCTGTGCTCACTGGGTACCAGCTGTCCTGAGCATCAAATGTCTATGGAGCCAGGATGCTGACTCAACCACTCTGCAGGTGAAGAAGTTCAGAGAGGGAAGGGTAGTGGAGGAATGTCCCTGCACCAAAGATAGCAATTCCCAAGTCCTGGGACCAAGGATGCTACTTAAACGGAAACATGTGTTTGCAGTGTGATTAATGCTGTTTAGATGGGGAATTAATCCTGATCGTCTAGGTGGGGAATCCCATGGACACTCATGAAAGAACTATACAGGGAGATGTCAGGTCACCCAGAGAAGTGATGGCAGAGATTGGAGTGGTGTGGCCAAGCCAAGGAATGACCCAGGCCGCCAGAGGGTGGGAGACACAAGGCAGAGATTTCCCTCCGGAACCTCTTAGACAGTGTCAGCTTTCCAGTGCTTCGACTTTAGTGCCGTGAGCTGGTCCTTGACTCCTGGCCTCCAGAGCTGTGGGCAACTAAGCTCTCTTGCTTCGACCTGCCGAGTCTGGGGTGACTTAGCACAGCAGACGCAGCTGGGAACAGGTGGTGGCCCCCGGTGTCCCAATCCCTGAACAGAAACCCAGAGCACAGCAGCTCTGAATGTCCCTCCAGCTCCCCCGCCCCCACTGCCTGCTTGGAGTCCCTGCTCACCGGCATATATTGGCCATTGTAGGTGCAGCCGCAGTCGTGGGCAGGAATGCACACACCCTGGGAGAGCAGGTAGTGATTGTCACACTCACATCCTTCAAAGCAGCGAGTGGTGCATTGGGTGAGGCCAGAGAGGGCAGCACAGGAGCCCTGGCAGGAGCTCATGCACACAGAGTAGTGGCTGTGGTCGGGACACCGGAGAGCTGGAGGGAGAGGAGGAAAATCGATCAGCTAGACTGTGCCTTTCAGAATGTCTGTTGCCCGCCCCCTGCTTCTGGCTCTGTGCCTGGCTGTTAGCTCCATCTGCTTCTCTCTGCCACAACCACAACCCTGTCCTACATCAGGCTCAAGGGTGCATCCAGTTACCTTGAACAGAAATGTCTGACAATGAATCAACATAGATCCTCAAAAACTGTTTCTCTCAAGCATTTGCCACAGTACAAAAACCTAACACGATGTTGTAGAGGACATAAGCGCTGAAGACCTTGTGCTAAAGAGCTCATGCCCAGTGCGCCAAACAGCTACGGCTCCAGTGATCATGGCTCATGGTTCATTGAGAAAATCAGGTAGAGGCTTGAATGGGATGGGGAATCATAGGCAGAGGGTTGAGACAAGGACAGTAGAAAAACAGGCAAAACTCTGGGCTCTAACTAAGTAACCCCAGGATGGTGAGGCTGGCCTCTAATGGGCACTGGAATAGAGAAGAAGGATCAGGTTTGGGATGAAATGCTGCATTCAGATCCAAGGGTCAGCAGAGATTACCCAGGAGGCCATGGATTCACCAGCCTAGTACTCAGGAGGAAGTCCAGAGCTGGAGACAGTGTCTCCTGTCATCACTGGGACAGTTGCTATACTATGGGGTGATGATGGCCCTGTGTTTAGGTCCTGCCCCCAGGGGACTGAGGGAGAAATGGCTCGGCCACGAAACAAACGTCAGTGGCCACAGTCTTGTCATGCAGAGTCTGACGTGACTTGTTCCTGCCCTGCAAATTGGAAGGAAGTGTGTGGACCTGGATTGGGGGGTCTGTTAGCTGGAGCCTTGCCTCGAGGATGTGAAAGGACACAGGGTCTGAGGTAGGGGCCAGTGAGCCACAACTCAGGACTCTTGTGGGCTCTCAATCCAACCAACCCCCTTCCAGGTCACTACAGAAAGAGCTGGGAACAGCTCTGAAGAGGTGGATGGGAGGTCTGGGGAGGGTGGACTCTTGACTGGAGGCTGAGACCCCAGAGTCGCAAGTAAATGGGGGAAGGCACAGAGGATGCTGGAGCAGGGTTAGAGGAGGCTGTCACGGGCAGGGATTTCTCCAGGGCCCAGGAGTTTCCAAGAGGGGCCCACAGACACTCACGGCAGAAGCTGTCTGTCCTCCAGGGCTTCACGGGTGCACCAGCTACCTGGCAGGCTGCAGTGTAGGCTGCCAGGCTACGGCAGAGGTATGTTTTGTTGCCCTTATGGGCACACAGATCATACACGCATTGGCGGAAGTATTCCAAGGGACTCAGAACCTGGTGGCAGTCTTTGAAGGGACCTTGGGGGTCTTGGATCTTCCCACAGGCTTCATTTTTCTCATATGATTTTGTCTCCTCTGCCAAGCACACAGGGCAGCCTTGGGGCCCACAACCTTCACCACAGCCCAAAGAGGAGCCGGGAGCTCGCCACGCAGCTCCAAAGGCCTCTGCACTGGGGGCTACTGTTCCATCGGGCAGCACAAAGTCATCACTCCAGTTCCCATTGAAGTTCCCACAGAGGCCGCAGATCCGTCCACGGAAGGGACTAGGGATGGACATGAGGATGTGGGCATCACCATCAAAGAGAAGCTTCAGCCCCTTGCTTGTCTGCAGAACCATGTTTCGGCCTTCAGCAGTCACACTCACATGGCCTTTCGTCACAGGCAGGACCACAGTTTCACCATCCACAGTCACCTGGGTGGAAGGGTCAGTTAGGATGAGGGAAGAGCACCTCAGTGTAGGCACGCACTCATAGATCCTGCATGGAGTGTTGTCTATCTCAGACCTTCTTGGAAGTCTTAGGAGCTAAAATCAGGCCCTGGGAAGCACTCAGGTTGGGGCCATGACTACAGTAGATTCTGAGATGGGACCTTTACCCACAAATCCGGAACTATTGGGGTGGGGCAGTGATATTCCCATACTCTGGAGCTCTCCAAGGTCTACTGAGACCCTATAGGGTGAGGCCAAGCTGGGGTCAAGTCCCTACCAGAACTCTGGGCAGGCTTGTGTCCACTCACCTGTGGCCCTTTAGCCAGGACCACATTGTGGCCGTCCACTGTAACCACCACACGTTGGGGGTCGTCAGCTGAGTTCTTCTCAAGCACAATGGAAAACTCCTCCTCTCCAGGTTTCGGGTGACAGACTTGTGCCAAGATGTAGGAGCAGGAGCCATGAAGATCATACACCCGTCCATCAAGGGTGACATAATGGATGCCCCCATTAGCCAGGCAGTGGCCACAGCCAGAGGGATGGCAGGCCTGGATGCCATTCTCTATCCGGCACTCCTCATAGGGCTCGCAGTCTGCACCGTCCTGGCAGCTGACCTGGCCACCTGGCCCACACGCACAGAGCCGCTCACACTCAGGGCCTGGGTAGAATGTGGCACCTAGCAGGTAGTAGCGTCCATTGTGGAGGCAGCCACACTGGCCCACGGGCACACAGGTGTCACCACTGAGCACAAAGCCAGAATCACAGACACAGCCCTCACGGCAGGTGGTTTCACAGCCCTCTGGGGGCAAGAGGCTTGGGCAACTCACAGGGCAGGAGTCACCACAGAGCTGGTAGTGACTGTTGGCAGGACACTGGAGAGCTGTGGGGACAGAAAAAGGGAGAGTCAGGCAGGGGCAATGGTGGGACCAGAAGGGCTTGTGTGTAAGAGGAGCCTGCGGAGACAGCCAGCCGCTGGCTTGGCATGGGACTTGATGGAGAGCATGGGCGGGACCAGGTCTCCCTGAGAAGGGTGTGTCATCCTGACTAGTACCTCTACAAGCGACTGTCTGGAGGATAGACGACGTGCGTCTGACCAGAGCACACTAGAACCCACCAAGGCTCTATCGGTGAGCGCCTGACTAGGGGCCCAGGTGCGTGGGAGATCAGTCAGCCTGACTGAAGAGAGTGAAGACGTGCGGACAGGACCGGAGCACCTGCTGGTCTCTCGGACATCCTCCGTTTCAGGGTGCAACTCTGCCAGTGTGTACGTGAGTGGGTGACACTCACAGGGTGGAGTCTGCTTGGATCTGCCAGGGACAGGTCCTGATTCCAGCTGAGGGTGTCGGATGTCTGACCAGCATGTGGCAGGCAGTGTAGCATCTCCCCAGGCACCGCTGGGCTACTGACCACTTCTGTGTGTCTAACTGTGGGAGATGGTCCAGGGGTGTAAGTCACTTGGCCTCTGACAGAGTTTCTTACTGAGTAACTGTCACTGGGTCATATCCAAGTCCACTAGGAAAATGAAGCTCCCAGAGGGGTCTGCACCCAGGCTTTGTAACTCTGGGTGTGTAGCTAGGTCCTTCCCTGGCCAGGTGGTGTTTTTTCAGTATCAGTGCCAGGGTGTATCTCTGACAGGAGGTGGTGGGGATGGGCCTTGAGCTCCACTGAAGCACCAGGACTCTTGTCTTAGAGCCCCTGGAAAGGGTTGGGGGAGACCCTGTTTGTGTGGAGCTGCACGGGTCAGTACTCACGACAGAAGTCTGGCTTCCTCCACTCTCCAAGTTGGGCCCCAGCAGCCTGACAAGCTGCCACATAGGTGGCGATGGCAGGACAGAGGCCTCCTGGATGGCCCTGAACCTGACAGGCATCCAGCAAGCAAGCCTCAAAGTACTGTGTGGGCGGCACGAGGCTGTGACAGGGTGCCAGTGGGCCTTCGGGGGACGAGATTATGCCACAGGCGTCAGGGCCACGGAAGGGTTCCTGTTGCTCAGGTGTGCAGGGCTGTGGGCAAGGCTCAGTCACGCACTGGTCACAGCCTGGAGTTCCTCCAACCTTCCAGCCCTCGGGTTTCCCTGCTACTGCGGTCAGGTCATCGTTGGGATTTTTGTTGTAGTTCCCGCACAGGCCACAGAGGGCGCCTGCATAGGCTGCAGGTACGTGCAGGCGCAGGAAACTGTCCCCGTCAAAAGCCAGGGAGAGCCCAAAGGCAGTGTTCACCACCACATCTGCTCCACTTAGGTAAATGCTCAGTCGTTGGTCCAGATGGAAGGGCAGAGCAACGAACTCTCCGTTCACCTGCGGGGCGGGGAGAGAGTGAGAGGTAAGACGCACCGATAGTTTTGCATGTTTCCACCACTTATAATATACAGGATTCAAAGTAGGTTACTGCCCTGCTATTGTTAGGGTAATGAGATGTGGTGTCGTGGACTCCTTTGGTTTTGTGTATATTCTGTTTGTTGCCTCCTGTAACAAGGAATGACTATCGCAGGCTAGGCTTCTGCAAGTCTCTGCAGCCCTCTGACCCCAGTCTCTGAAAGCTGAATTAACAGAAGTGAACCACCCTCCTCACACCATCTCACTGGCTCTCTATGCTACCGTCAAGTAGGTACTTTTGACAATCCACCCTACAGAGGAATAATGGAAGGCAGAGCCTGGGGAAGACACTGCTTCCAGCCTCCCTGGCCCCACAGGCTGTAGGCTGAACTCAGCATCAGGCTCCTGCCAGGCTGGAAAGGTGCTTTGGGGAATGGCCCATCCCTCATTCTCTCCTGTCCAGCAGAGGCTCCTGGACCACAGCCCACTCACCTGCAGCTGCCTGGGCCAGCGGGCACTAAGGGTCAGGCTGAGGCCATAGATGCTCAGAGTGACAGTGCGGGTGTAGCTGACAGCCTGGCTGCCCCTGTGCTCATTAATCACAGTGACATTGAAGTATTCAGTCCCTGTGGGTGGCGCATGGCAGGGTGCACTCAGCAGGTACTCGCAGGTGCCTTGGAAGTCAAACCGGTGCCCATCTAGAGTGATGTAATGGGGATCACCCCAGGCTTGGCACTCAGCTGTGCTTGTAGGCTGGCAGCCGAGCTGGCCAGAGGGCAACAAGGCACATTCTTCACCCAGCCCACAGCTGGCAGATGTGCAGACCAGGGATTCACCTCCAGGTCCACAGTGACACCTCTTAGAGCAGGTGGCATCAGTCCAAAACTCAGTGCCTGGTTCATGGTATGTGCCATTGACCCAGCAGCCACAGCCACCGTCCAGCGGAACACACTGCTCAGCACTCAACACAAAGCCCTGGTCACACTGGCACCCCTCCACACAGGGCCCGTCACACGCAGCTGGGGTTGTGTGGCGTGCAGGGGGTGGGCAGCTGGCTGGGCAGGGTGGGCCACAGAGCTCATAGTGGCTGTTGTCAGGACAGGCGATCTCTGTGGGTAGATGAAGGGAGAGAGAGAAATGAAGAATGGTGTTGGAGTGGTCTCTGGGGATGGAGTGGGAAAGACATCAACAGAGACAAAAGGGGACAGTCGGGGAGGGAAGCTGGGACAAAGTAGAGCAGATGGAGTGAGATGGAGAGAGAGATAAGCTGGGACACAGACAGAGACAGCCTGTCTTGTATAATATTAAAAGGACTAGCCTTAATATTATACTTCCTAGGGGCTCAGGAGATAAACTATGAACTGTGAGAATTATTTTCGGGAAAAGAATCTAAGTACACCAAGCTCTTTAGTCCACTTGCTTTAATTTATCTGAGATAAAATCCTATCTACACAGCTTCAGTTCTGTTCTCATGCCTAGCTCCTTTCTTGCCTGATTTCTCTCTACCTTTATCTACTGTTCCCTCTACATTCTATCTTAATCCTCTCATATTAATTCTGCCTCACCTAGGTCCTTTTCATCTCGTTCTTACCCAGCTAATACTTACCCATCTGACTCTTCCTCATCTTCCATGTCGTCCACATGTTCTCTCTGATCAAAATCCTTCTTATCCCTCTCAGTTCTCTGTCCTCAAGTTCTCCACTCCTCTCTTCCTCTCCGTCTCCTTATACCCCTAAGTCCTTATCTGAAAATAAAGCTGCCTTTTTATCCCTTTGACCCTTATCTCCCAAGCTATTTCTGCTCCCACTGTTTCTGGTGAGTGTGCTCCATCGCTAGGCAACTTGGCTAGTCAACTTCCATCACAGCTCGATGTACCTGTAAGTTGGAACCCTTTATTCTGAGTTAATTGTTAAGGGTGGATCTAAAGCTAGAGATAAGACTTTGGAAAGGAGAAAGTTAAGCTTAATTGGCACATCTGCCAGACATTCTCAAATGGGTAGTCTGGACGCTTAAGTCTGTTCTTAGAGAGTACAGAGGTGTCTCTGATAAGGTACTTTCCTCCGTCTGGGGATGGACCTGGCCGGATGCTTGACCCGGGGTTGTGGCTGAGCATAGCTGTCAGCGCAGAAAGTTATCTAAATATTGCTAGAAGTGGTTAGGTAAGGAATTAGAGGTCTATAAAGTTAGTAAGTCTGTAAGAAAAGGAGCGTCCGAGCTAAATTGTGCGAAGCTATTACTTAAGGTCCACCTGACCTAGGCAATGTCTCCGTGTGGAATTTAACTTAATATCAGGAGACTTATTATGTGGTGGTTTGGACTGTTATTCCTGTTAGTCATTGAATGTGGCTAAGGGAGATATCTGATTCCAGTGCTGAAAGGCAAAAAACGGATGGGCTAGGGGGAAGGAAGTCTTTCCTGAGGCTGTTCTCCAAATACTTTGAACGTATATGTCCAAATAGTGATCAGTCCACACTGTTAGCAATTCTTAGGAAAGAATGAATTGGGAAAGCTATGAAGGCACACATGATTTTCATAACAGAAGACTGCTGATATATAACAAGCCAAATAACATCAAAAGCTCCTTGGAATTTGGCTTCCTCTGAAGGAATTCTTGATCCCTCCAGGTAGTGGTTTTGTCATAACCAGCTGAGTTCTTATATTCCTGCGGCCTGCAGCAAGCCAGGAGACAGAGACAAGCAGAAGCCAGCAGAAGGACCCCAAACGGTGGGAGTGGAGCCAGCCCAGCCCTTGCCCTGGTCCCCACCACTCACCACAGCCTGCCTGAGTCCTCCAGTCCTTGATTTCGATGCCAGCAGCCTGGCAGGCAGCAGCATAGGCAGCCAGTGCCTGGCAAAGTATGTCTTTGATGCCACCACCCAGACAGACATCCAGCACACAGCCCTTGAAGAAACTTTCAGGAGGCACATGGGCATGGCAGCTGGCGAAGGGACCCCCTGTGCCAGGAGCCAGAGGTCCACAGTAGCCAGGACCCTCATACTTCTCCACTTGGTCCTCTGGGCACATTGGACAGGAGCCCTGACATTCATTCCAGCAAAGAGGGTCCCACCCTGGAGTCTGCCAGCTGCCACCCCAGGTGGGTATTGAGGGTGCCACTGTGCCGTTAGGGAAGACTTGGTCATTTTGGGGGTTTTTGTCCATGTTTCCACAGAGCCCACACACTGCACCATGGTAGCTACTGGGCAGCGTGACCTCTACCCTCCAATTCCAGTCGTAGGTGACCTGAAGCCCGAAGTCAGTCACCAGCACAGCCTTGGAGCCTCCATGAACCACTGAAATCTGCCCACCAGCCAGGTAGACAGGCAAGGCCTTCAGAACTCCATTCACCTGGGGAGAGAGGGAGGCCAATGGGGTCAGCTTCCTTTCCCACTGTCCTTCTCCTCTGTGAATTTCTGTTCTAGATGTCTCCCTCCAGCAGAAGATACCCTGGGCTCAAATCTAGGTCTATACTAGCAGTTTTCAACATATGGGTTGTGACCCCTTTGGGGGGGGGGGTCAAATGACCCTTTCACAGGGGTCACCTAAGACCATCGGAAAACACATATTTACATTATGATTAATAATAGTAGCAAAATTACAGTTATGAAGTAGCAAAGAAAATAATTTTATGGTTGGGGTCACCACAATATGCAGAACTATATTAAAGGGTCACAGCATTAGGCAGTTTGAGAACCACTAGTCTAAATGAAGGCAGACATCATGGGTCTACTTTGAGCTGTTAGCAGAGGGTTATGCTTAATTTCCTGTGATTTCTCCCCCACGTGGTTAATGTCTGTATGAAAACTGACACTTTTCAGCTCCTAATACTGCTAATAATATCAGGGTTCATTTGGCCTCGTCCCCCAGGGTGTTCCTGGGACCATCATGTTTAACATACCCGGACTTTGCCAATCTCATTCTTGTGGATGGAAATGTTGACATTGAGGGCGGTCACAGTAACCAGTCTCACATAGGACACAGAAGGGTTGCCCCGGTTCTCATTCTTGGTTGTGACAGTAAAGGGAGTCAGGCCCTCAGCATTGACCCCAGGACAGACAGTTCCTGCCAGCAGGTAGCTGCAGGTTCCCTGGAAGTCAAAGTTCCAACCATCGAAGGAGTGGTAGTGAGGGTCACCCCACAGCCAACATGTAGAATTGTAGTTGGGCACACACACGCCCTGACCGCCTTGATCCTTGCAGGTCTCCTGTGGCCGGCAAGTGATACCATGGCATGGGTCTGTGGGGAGAGGAGAGAGTACATTGAGGGACTGCCCACCACAAGCTTGACTGCTCCCAGCATCCGTCTAAGTCTGTGCTAGGGCTATCAGCTCTGATTGTTGCTGTAGGTGTGATCAGATCTCAGTGTCCTGACACCTAAGCCCTAGGCCCTGAAGTTGCTGTGTGTAAGACCAGACCCTGAGAAGCCAGCTCTAGGGGTCCAAGAATTTCATATCTTATGCCTGTGGTCCCCACATCTAAGTCTCTCAGCTTGGCTATCCCACAGTGCAAAGCTCCATTCCTGAGTGTCACATCCAGCCCCAGGAGTCTCATTTCTGAGAGCTTGTCCTTTTTTTTTCAAGACCCCACTTATGTTACTCTCTCTGTGGCCCCAGCTTTGTGTCAGGCATCCAGCCTTCAAACTTGCTCCTCTGTTTCCTGTTCAAAATTAGCCTGGAAGCTTTGTCAGCAGAGGGCACTAGGGAGTCTTGGGGGAGGGGCCCCTGAACTGACAACTTGCTCTGCTCTTCCAGTGGCTGCTGCTGCTACGCTGTGGGGCCTGTGGCAGGTAGACACGGGATCTCCAGCTAGTCACCAGACACACTAGGATCTCTAGCTAGTCACCAGACACACTAGGGGGCCGCTTCCAGCTGAGTTTCAGCAGCACTTCGGGGGTGGGGGTGGGGGTTTACTCTGCATCTCCAGCCTTGCACGATCCTCTGCCACCCAGTCTGAGGCAGGCTGAGGGTGGAAGCCTTCTAAATCCTGCAGCGTTTGGGATTAGTGGGGTTCCAGTGAAGTTTGTGTTCCCCTCACCTGGAAGCAGTCAGTCCCCTTTAGAACTGTGACTTGAGAGGGAAGGTGGTGGACTGCTCCCACACTCTAAATGCTATCGTTTCTGAGGGATGACCAGGGCGGCAGAAGAGCAGCGGCCTCTGAGGTGGGCGGTGGCAGAAACATGCTCAAGTCTCAGTAGTGAACAAACAACAAAACTCTCTCTGTCTGTCTCTGGGTCTCTCTCTCTCCAGCAGCCATGTGAGTGCTGGAAGCTGAACCCAGAGTCTCCGAGAGACCAGCCAGTGCTCTTAACCACCGAGCCATCTCTCTAGTCCTAACCCTTAATTTTTAGTCCTCTTTTCTTTTTCTCTACTTTTTATTTCACTATCTTTGGTCAAGTAAGTTTTCTCTTTCTCATCCAGACCATATAAACAACAACAACAACAACAACAAAAACCATATTAAAACAAAAGAGTAAGTAATCCAGTGAGCAGGAAATGGACAGGCACTCTTCAAATGAAGGACACAAATAATCAGCGCGTCAGCCCAGTCAGCACGCCCATCATCAGTGAGCAAGCAGCTGCTAGGAGCAACCTCAACTGATGTAGCCACTGTAGACATCAGTATGAAGTTCCCAGTAAAACCCAAACTAGGATCCAGCTCCACCACTCCTGGGTATGTAGCAAAAGGAGTCCAAGAAACCATACAAGAGAGACTCCTGTACATCCATGTTTGTGATGGCACGGTTCAAAACGGTCATATCATGGGATCGGTGTAGATGCCCATCAACCAAGAGGATCGAAAATGTGGTACATATACCCAAAGGAGCTATACTCAGTCATAAAGAATGTGATTATGTCACTTGCAGGAAAATGGAGAGAACTGGAGGTCAATGACGTCATGAGTGTAAGTCTCTCGCATGTAGAAGTTAGGAAAGAAAAAGGATGTGAAACTTGAAAGTGGGGATGGGGGCCGACAGAGAAGGGGAATGAGAGGGAAGAGGAGTAACAGAGTAACAAAAGGCTGTCTGGAATGAAATCACAAACCCTCCTCTTTTCTGTAATTGACACATGTTAGTAAAATGTAGATATAAAGAAAGCAGTGCTGCGGGGTGGCGGTGGTGCACGCCTTTAACCCCAGCACTCGGGAGGCAGAGCCAGGCGGATCTCTGTGAGTTCGAGGCCAGCCTGGTCTACCAGGACAGTCGGAGTTACACAGAGAAACATGTCTCAAAACAAACAAACAAACAAACAAACAAAAACAAAAGCCAACCAACCAACCAGCAAACAACAGAAGAAAAGAAAGGAAAAAGCCGTGCTTCTGTGTGCTGGGGGTGGGGGGACCTAGAGTTCTGGGTATGCCAGGCAAATCCTCTCCCCTGGATCTCACCCGAACACACAAATCATTCAGTGCCTCAAGCTTTCTCCATCTGGATAAAGAGGTGGCATCCCTCTCCTGACAGGACTCTCTGCTGTCCTGTTCATCATTCTGGGAGTCTCAGCCCAGCCTTCCAGTTACCAGTTCCTACTTTTCACTCCTCCAGGATTCTCTGCCCCTCATTTTAGGAAATGAGCCCAAGGGAGGCCCTATGTCCCAGCCTTAAACTAGGAATCCTCTAAGACAGAACCCTTAGAAATTCTGAAGACCCACTTGAAAGGCTCTGCCTTGGCCCAGTACCCCTGTGTTCTAGGAGACCGCTGAGCTCTGCTTTCCCAGCAAATACACAAAAGAGTTCAGTGTCCTTGGTCATCAGGGAAATGGAAATTAAAATGATGAATTTCTCCTAACTGCCCTTTAATGGTGGTGTCCAAAGCCCCAACCTAATCCAATGAGCCAGTGGGCAAGAAGCCATGGGCCACCTGGTGCTTGTTGTTGCAAATACAGTTGTGTTGCCGCTCTGTCCCTTCATACACATAGTCTCTGGTCGCTTTATATCATAAGGGTTGACATTACAAGTTGTGCTTAAAGCTCTGTGGCCTGCAAGCTTAAGTGTTTACCATAGGGCCCTTGAGAAAAAGTTCACCAGGCCTGCAGTCCTCCAAGGCCTTTGACATCCACCATCAAAATCTTGCCCTGAAGTTCCCACAGCTTCAAATGCCTTAAGGTTCCCTGACACCCAGACTGAATGACCTCTTCCCTTGGCTCCTGGAATCCCAGTCCAAGGTCTGATACCTCAATCCACAGCCCTCAGCACCTCTCACCATGAAATTATGTCACCTTTAGCTCCTAGCCCCTGTCCTGTGTCCCCCACACCAGCCCAGACCCACTTGCCCAGCACCTTTGGTGACGCAGGTCAGGATGCCTCCTGAGGGCTCGCACACCTGTCCTGGCTTGCAGCTGTGATCCTGGCACACCATGCCTTCTCCTGAGTGGCACACACACTGCTGCTGGCAATTTTCAATGAGAACTGACTCCTCTGGCTGTGGGGACAGAGAGCATGCCATCAGTAACCAGAGGGGGTGTCGACTCTGGCGTCCCCAGTGTTCCAGGCACAGAGAGGGTTGAGGGACAGCTCTAAGCAGTGTGGTCCATTGTCAGTGGAACAGATGCCCAGTGTGGCTTTGAGGCCTAACTCACTCATTTCTTCATTAATTTTCATTCATTTATTCACCCATTCTTTCCAAAATGTGCACTGAATTGCCGCTGCTTAGGAGGAGCAGAGTTTAGTCAGTCAGAGCAAAAGCTACGGAGCGCATTGCCCAGTTGAGCCTGTTCCACCGTTTCCAAGCCGTGTGATGGGACAACACTGCTTAACTTCCTTATCCCTCAGCTTCTTCATCTGTGAGGGACAGCTAGGAACAAACTGAGGAAGTAGAACTGAGTTAATAGTATGTGTAAAGTAGAGATGCAACCACAGAAGGACCTCTCCAATAATGCAGACTGGTTTGGAAAAGTGAGTAAAGATGAAGCTAGGCTTGTGGGGGAAAGCTGATTGTTTCTGAAGCTAAGTGATGAAAAGGAGTATAGTGATTCCTTCCAGTAGTCTCTCAACAAATGCACATTTGAGAATTCCCACAATATGAATGCGTGTGTGTGATGTGTGTGTGTGTGTGTGTGTGTGTGTGTGTGTGTGTGTGTGTGATGTATAGACATAATAAAATAAGTTCATGATAAGCACCATGCACACATCTGCTCCCAGGACTATTGCGATTCACGAGGGAGCACTGTCCTCAGAGACTCCTCACTCCTGCAAGGGAGACAGACTTGAGCAAGCACACGCTCAAGCCAAAGGGTTCCCTGCGGGAGAGAATAGGGAAGCGGAGGGAGTGAGCACCTGGTGTAACAAACAATCTCATCCTCATGACCTGGAAGAACACTTCTGCTCAGATCTGGGATTCAAAGGTGAGTGTTGATCTGGGGAGGCAGTGAAGGATTTAAAACTTCGGGACCCACAATCATGCTTTAAAAGATCTTTCCACAGTTGTGGGGAGGGTATAGCAAAGGAGGCGAAAGTGGAGATTTGGAAAGGACAAATGGACCACAGCAGGGTTGCAGGTGGACAGAAGTGAACACAGAGATAGATGTTCAAGAGACTGAATGGTGGAAAGGCTATAGTGCTAATGAGCAGTGGGGAGGGTGAGCCCAGAAGAGGTCCTGGGCTCTGTAAGACGGCTGGGTCCTTACCTCATAGTAGACCCCATTGTGGTAGCAGCCACATTCCTGGATGGGCACACAGGCTTTGCCATTGTACAGAAAGCCGGAGTCACACTCACAGCCCTCAGCACACACTTCTGGGCACTGCTGTGGGGTATTGAGAGCCCAGCAGCCCAGGGAACAGGTGTCTGCACAGACCTCATAGTGGCTGTGAGGGGGGCACTCCATTGCTGTGAGAAGAAAAGGCTGATCAGAGTGCAGGGTGGGGGTGGGGAGTCTACTTCTCTACGCCAACCTCCCCACTCCCTACCCCTCAATGTCCCATCACTCACGACAGAAAGTTTCAGTCCTCCATGGCTCGACTTTCCCCCCAGCTGCCTGGCAGGCGCTCACGTAGGCATGGATGTTGTTGCAGAGAATGCTCAGGTTCCCGCCACCCAGGCAGAGATCAAAGACACACTCTTCCAAGGGACCCTGGGGGTCTAGCAGCTTGTGGCAGGCAGCCAGTGGCCCTGTGGAGCTGGTGAGCAGCCCGCAGAACTGCACCCCGTGATACTTGTCCTCCAGCTCAGGGCTGCATTCAGCACCACAGCTGTCTCCTGTGCAGGGAGGCACTGGCGCACAGGGCGAGTCGGGCACAGCCTCCTCCCAGGAGTTACCGAAGTCACTCGGGCTGGCTGCCTGTGAGCCATCTGGCTTCTGGAAGTCATCCTTGGAGTCCCCATTGTAGTCCCCACACAGGCCACACATCTGCTGGTAGTAGTTGCCTGGGATGGTGACCCGCACATAGTACGAGAGGTCATAGACCACACGCAGGCCAAAATCAGTTTGAATCACAACATCAGACCCATGTTGAGAGACACGGATCTTGCCCCCATCCAGCACCACAGGCATCTTCATGTCCACGCCGTTCACCTGGAAGGCAGGGAATGCCAAGCTTCAGAGCAGTCAGTCCCTAAATGTTCCTACCTGACACTGAAGTCCATGTGACCTCATTTCTCTAGGCCTCAGTTTCCATATTTGTAAAAATATGTATAATAATAGTGTCTATAGTGGGAGGAAAGGTGGTTTTCAAAAGGCAAGTCTACCCAGAAGCTGGAGAGATGGGTCAGCAGTTAAGAGCATCTACTGCTCTGTCAGAGGGCCAGGATTCAGACCCCAGCACCCACATCCAGCAGCTCCCAACTCCTGTAACTCCAACACCAGCAGACCTGATGTCCCTTCTGTCCTCTGTGGTCACTTACATGCACGTGCGCACACACAGAGAAATAAATAAAAAGATAAGTCTACCAAGAAGCTCAGAAAGCAACCATATTTGGAGAAAGATCAACAGATGTAATTAGAGTTATTGTCTTGAAGTGAGATAATCGTAGATCAGGCTGGACTCCAAGTCCAATGACAAGTGTCCTATGAGGAGAGGAGAGGGGAGAAGGGGAGAGAGGAGGAGAGGGGAGGGGAGGAGAGGAAGGGAGAGGAGGGGAGGGGAGGAGAGGAAGGGAGAGGAGGAGAGGGGAGGGGAGGGGAGGGAAAGGGAGGGGAGGAGAGAGGAAAGAATCAGTGAAGGAAAGAAACAGAAGAAGAGTTATAGCCATATTGGAAAAGGTCCCCAGTTCCTGGCCTCCTCTCTCTGGACTTTGCACAATACCTCCTCTAATTGGGACCCCACTTTGCCATTTTCTCCGGGAGCTCTGCATATTCTCCCACAAGGGAGCCTTCATCCACACCCTGCCTCTGCTCTCACCTTGACCTTCCACTGATTCTGCTCCAGTCGCAGGGTGTGGTTGGCCACCAGGACTGTGATGGCCTTGGTCACACTGACTTGCCCATTGCCCCAGGCCTCATTCTCCTGCAGGACAGTGAACTCGTGTAGGCCGGGCCGGGTTCCACAAGTCTGCGCTAGCACATACACACAAGTGCCCATGAAGTCAAAGCGGCGGCCGTCAAAGGTGATGTAATGAGGATCTCCTGAAGCCTGGCAGGTGGTAGTGCCCACAGCCACACAGCCCAGGACTCCATTGGATGGTTGGCAAGCCTCATGTGGGCCACAGGATGAGGGCTCACAGGAAACCAGGCCACCTTCCTGGCAGTGGCAAAGAGAATCGCATCCAGGTCCAGGGTAGAAGGTTTCTCCTGGTGGGTGGTAGGTGCCCTGGTGTACACAGCCGCAGGAGGCCAGAGGCACACAAGACTCACCACTGAGGGCAAAGCCCTCATCACAAACACAGCTCTCTCGGCATTCTGTGCCACAGCCTTGGGACACTGGCAGGTCTCCACAGGACAGCGGGCATCCGTAGGAACATGGCTCGTAGTGGCTGTTAGGTGGGCAGGTCAGTGCTGCAGAGAGAGGGCCATCATAATCACTAACTCTTTCAAAGGGACACAGTGGATGCCCCCCATATACATGTTTATACACACAAGCAAGTCACCCAGCTGCAAGATGTCTGTACGTTCAGTGGGTCCAGAAGAACAATTCCTATCACATGTTATTAGATCCTGTCAATTGGTATTTGATTCTAATAGTACTGAAATTTGTGGTTATCTCTAATGGCTGTCCAAGTTGTGTATAAATTTCGTGTAATGCATGTTTTAAACATGCATACACATGTACATGTGAGTAATCTCTGCAGTGTATCTGTGGATATTGTCTTTCCTTTTCACCCTTCTCCCTCCTCCCTCCTGCCCTTCTCCTCCTGCTTCTTACATTTTCTTTTAACTCAGAACCTCTGACATTCAAGGAAAGCATTCCACCATTCTCCAGCAGTAGTATATTCATTTTATAGATGTACACACATACAAACACAAACACACACACCACACAGACACACACACACACACCACACACCATACAGACAGACATAGATACACCACATACACACACACACACACATCACACACACACCATACAGACATACACAGACACACCACACACACACCACACAGACACACATAGACACATCACACACACACACACACACACACACACACACACACACACACACACACACACACACCATACAGACAGACATAGATACACCACACACACACACAACACATACACCATACAGACATACACAGACATACCACACACACCACACAGACACACACATACACACCACACACACACACACACACCACACACAAACACACACACATATACACACCACACACATACCACACACACCATACACGCACCATACAAACATACACAGACACACCACACACACACCCCACACACACACCACACAGACACACACACACCACACACACACAAACATACACACATATACACACCACACACATACCACACACACACCATACAGACACACACAGATACACCACATACACACCACACACACACACACACACACACACACACACAAATACTGTAATAGTAGTTTTAAATGACAATGCCATGTTGATCTTTGTGGAATGGATGATGGACATAAAGGGTCTACTGTCCTAGCATGCTTTGTGATAGGTTCAACTTTTCCCACAATGAAAGGTTCTTAAAAGTCAAAGATTACCACTTGCTAGGAGTTTCAGTGTTTGCAATTATCTACACTTAAGATGGAGCAGCTGGAGGTGCATACTCCACTCATAGAGTTCAAATCTCCCTCCCAGGGCAGGGAACCTGGCAGCATTTACACAGTTTGGCCTCATGCTGGAAGCTAGTCAAGCTGCATGTTAATGTACCCACTAAACATGTGCAGTATAGGGCATCCTCAAGTCAAGTTTAAAACTCAGGAATGGGTACATGGCTTTCCAAATCTCTGCAAAAGACAAGCAAAACTGCTTTCCAGCCCTTCCCGCACCCACATCTGAAGCCAAGACGTACATGGGTTAAGTGTGGAGATGGTTCCACGGACAACTGCAGAGGGGTCCAGGCTCATTCTAAATGCAGCACGCTGCTTCTCCCTGACTGACCACTGACTTGAGATCACCATACATGCTCAGTCCCCAGAGTCATTGCATGCTGTTGTGACTTTCTAGCTGTCATAAGTGCAGGCATGGAGCTGCAAGTTGGTACTCTTCCACAGTATAATCACAGTACCTTCCTCACCAGGCACCATAAGGATTAAACGATGCTACTCGTATGTTAATGAACAAACATCAGACCCAATCCCAGGTGGCCACTCTTGGTACTCACGGCAAAGCGTCTCACTCCTCCAGGGATGCACAGTGCCCCCAGCAGCCTGGCATGCAGCAGCATATGCAGCCAGGGCATCACACAGTGGCTTGGGCTGACCGGGCAGCAGGCAGAGGTCATAGACACAGTCACGTAGAGCACCCTGGGGGTTCAGCAACTTGTGACATTCCCTGAAGGGACCCTCAGGATCAGCAAGGATCCCACATTCTTTTTTGCTTTGTTGTTGCTGGGCCACAAGGGAGTCCAACTGGGGACAGTCACCAGGATCAGTTGCTGCACAGCCAGGTATTATCTCCTCCTGCCAGCTGTTTCCGAAGTCCAGTGCGCTGGTAGCTTGGCCTCCACCCCTCAGAGCCAGGTCATCAGATGGGTCCCCATTAAAGTTCCCACAGAGCCCACACACAGCTTTAGCATAGCTACTGGGCACCTTGGCAGTCACATGAGCATCCCAATTGAAGGTAACAGTCAAGCCAAAGTCTGTGCGCACGACAGCATCATTGCCCTGGCGGAACACCTGAACTTGCCCGCCTGCAGCCTGGAAGGGCAGGTACTGAAGGATGCCATCCACCTGGGTAGAGATGCGGGAAGAACAACAGGTCAGTGTCTTCGTGCTTTCACTCAGCTGGCTCCAGCCACCCCACCCTCCTTGGTTCCACCTCAGGGCTTCACAACGGCCATTCCCTCTGCCTAGCACGTCACCCAGTGCTCCTTATCCTCTAAACTGAGATCCAAGTCCCTCCTGCTTTCAAAGCCGGCCTCACCTGTCTCCCTGGTACCTGCTTGAGCACGTCCCCACAGGCACAAGTGTTTGAACACCATCCACAGCTGATGGTGCTGCATTGGGAGGCTTTGGAACCTTTAAGAAGTGGGCCAAGCTTAGAGAAGGACAAAGCTGGGAGGAACGTTTTACAGGATATAGCCCACTGACCTCTCTCTGCTTTCTGGCCCACTGAGATGCGAGCGGACCTCTCCTCACATCCAGTTAGTACGGAGCCAGCAGCCATGTCTTCCGACCACACTGTACCGTATCCCCTCAAACCACGGGCCAAAATGAATCCCCCCTTGCGCTGCTTCTTGTCAGGCATCGGGCCATGGAAAGAAGAGCGACCAACCCACCGGGTAGCTTTCCCGTTTAGTCTAGCCCCAAGGGCTTTGCCCCCGGCCTAACCACCATCCACCAACCCTGCTGCCTTTGCCTTATCCTTCCGGGCTTGCCTGCAGGTCAGACCTCTCACACGGAATGTCCTGCTGGACCGCGGCCTGCCAGCGCCTTGCCCATCGTCACTCAGCCTCTGTTGTCTCTGACTTTCCGCCCTTACCTCCTCTGAATTTTTCTGGGACAGCACTCGCCACTTCCCAGCCTGCTCTCTGCATGCCAGCTTTTCACTGCCAAACCTCTCATGGCGGCCTCAAATGATCTAGACGATCTGAGTCCCAGGGTTCCCTAGTCAGTCTCCCAGCACAGCCCTGCCCCTGCATCTCCAACCATGCGTGGACTTGAACTCACAGAGCTCAGTCCAGACTTGAGGCCCCTGTACTTGCTGCACCCCTGCTTGCAACGCTTCCACTCGCTTCCACATCCCAGGTCTCCAACAGCGGCAAATGTCTCCTGTATAGTCTACTCAAAACTAAGCTCTCGACCCACTTGGCCCACGCATGCCTACCTTTCTGACCCACAATTCCTCCTGCCTCTGTATGCCACCTCCCAGTGTTACTCACAGGAACGCTCTCTTCATCTCAGTGCTACTCTAGTCTCTTCGAGACGACCCAGCCTCAGCCTTCCTATCTGCTCTTCCCTCTGCCTGGAAGATGCCACCTTGACCTAGAGGTGTCTTCGCTGTTCTCCAGGCCGTCCCTGAATTCAGAAGCTTGGGGATAGCTAGCCCCGCCTCGTCTCTGCTCACTGTCTCTGACCTCTCCACTCAAGCTCCATCAGCACCCTTGCTGCTCGTCACCTACTCCAGCTTTACTTTCCCCCCTGTCTGTTCCACGTCTTGCCTAACAAACTCCCGCAGGCTGGAGAGGTAGCTTAGTAGTTAGCTGCATGAACTGCTTTTACAGAGGACTCAAGGACTGACTTCAGTTCCCAGCATGCATGGTGGGTAGCACATTGCCTGTAACTCCAGCCCAGAGGGACCCCATAATTCTGGGTCCTCTGCCACTTACGTTCACAACCCATGCCCCTCAGTTAAAAATAATAAAATCATTTTTAAAAGTATGAATTCCTGCCGGGCGGTGGTGGCGCACGCCTTTAATCCCAACACTCAGGAGGCAGAGCCAGGCGGATCTCTGTGAGTTCGAGGCCAGCCTGGTCTCCAAAGTGAGTTCCAGGAAAGGCACAAAGCTACACAGAGAAACCCTGTCTCAAAAAACCAAAAAAAAAAAAGTATGAATTCCTGAGCAAAACAGCAGGGTTCCAAATTCTAGCTCGTGGGTATCTCAAACTCACTCAGGTCTTCTCAGTATCACACAACTGTGTCTCAGTAGGTGACTTAACCTTGTGCTGACATTTTTAATCTAAGACATAAAGCTTGCCTGAAGATCAGAGGACAGAGCCAGCCACAGAATTAAACACAGAGGTCGGGCAGTGGTGGCACACAACTCAAATCCTAGCACTCAGGAGGCAGAGATCTGTCTGGATCTCTGTGAGTTCAAGGCCGCCACTGGGCTACATGAGATTGATCTAGTCTAGGAGACAAACAAAGCCAGGCAGTGGTGGCACACACCTTTAATCCCAGTATTTGGGAAGCACCCACGCCATTAATCCCAGCACTAGGAGGGCTGAGATAGGCAGTGAAATGGCTGGGCAGAGACAGGCATATAAGGCAGGAGGAGACAGGGCCTGAGGCATTTCGGCTGAGGACTCAGGGTCATTCAGTCTGAGGATTCGTGAAGTTGGTGAGGTGAGACGTGGCTGTGCTTTATTCCTTTGTTTCCTCTGATCTTTCAGCATTTGCCCCAATATCTGGCTCTGGGTTTTTATTATAAGACCATTTAGGATTCATACAACATAACCTCTCCGTGTTGCAGGTTTTTTTTTTTTTCAGCCAAAGTTGAACTATTTTCCTTGCTTGCTTTGGAGAGGAGATGAATGAACACGTGCTGTTCCTTTAGCCCACTGAAGTTAGTGGGAACACGATGTATGTTAGGTATTAGGAGACAAGCCTTGGGCAAATGCCACGTCAGAGAGGACAAATACTGATGAATAATTATTCCCTCTCCTTTTCTGGAGCCCCTGTACTTACCTATGGGCACGATTTCCTTCGCTCTAAGATTGCTTTGGAGACTAGGAGTGAAAGCGTGTGTGGGGTACACGGGGCCTGGAGCACAGGAAGTTCTCTCTGTCAACCATTTCCAATGTTTCTATTCCTCGATCCAGGGGATGGGCCAGACTCCAACTAGTGCCCTAACTTCTTTATTCTAAGTGTCAGCCATCGTGTGGACACCCGGCACCTCGCTTCTCCAGTTCCTCTTTGGTGTCTACAGAGAAAGTGAGTGCTTCTCTACTCTCAGTGGGGCTGGGCCCCTCTGAAGGCCACCCTGACGCTGTCAGTGCTGCTCCCTCTTGCTCCCAGAGGCCGGGTGAGGCTCTGGGTTATCCTCGAACAAGCACATGCAGCTAGATACCGGCATCCCACACGCCATCCGCTCTATGAGCCACCATCTTCCAGAAAATGCACAAGTCTACAACTCTCAAGTTTCAGAAGACAGTCAGCAACCACCACCATCTACTGGGCACTTCATGGGCACCAAGGCATCTTTTAAAGACCAGGCAGACATGAGGTCGGCAGAGCTCCACTACTCCCCAGCCAATGGCTGCTGCTGCTGCTCCAGGATGAAGCCTCTCTTTTCCCCATCCTTTCTCAGAGGAAAATGCAAAGGCTACAGAGAGTCAGAGCTGAGGAGAAACGGCGCTGCCTGGCTCCTGGGCCTCTCCTTTAACCACAAGATTTAAAAAAAAAAAAAAAATAAGCTCCCCCCCCCCCCCAACTGCAGCCACTAACCTTCCAGGGGATTCACACCCTCCCCCGATTCCCTACCCTGGGGCGCTCACCAGCACTCTTCCGGGGTACTCCCTGCGCACCGCCACCTCGACACCACGGGCCACCACACGCACAGCTCTCGTGTAGCTCACAGTCTGACTTCCTCGATGTTCATTCTCCACCAGCACCTTAAAGTCAGGCAGCGCGGCATCCTGGCCGCACGAGCCCACCAGCAGGTACGTGCAGGTCCCCATAAAGTCAAAGCGTCTTCCATCAAAGCTCACGTAGTGCGGGTCTCCCGATGCCTGGCAGCTGGCAAAGTTGTCTGGGTAGCAACCCAGGAGGCCGTTCAGCACGCGGCAGCGCTCCCCAGAAGGGCATCCTGATGTGTCCCTGCAGATCACCTTCTGGGTGGCTGCATCACAGGTGCAGCGTTGCCGACACAGGTCATCAGCAAACACTTCCTGACCAGGGGCCAGGGGGCGGCCCTGGAAGGTGCAGCCACAGGATGACACAGGCACACAGTCACCACCACTAGCCACAAAGCCTGGAAGGCACACGCAGCCCTCCACACAAGGGCGCTCAGAGCAGTTGGTCGGTGCAGCTTCTGAGTTGCAGGAGGCTGGACAGGCAGGGCTGCAGGGATCATAGCAGCTGTTGGCTGGACAGGACAGGGCTGCGGAAGGACAGACGTTGGGTCAGGCAAGGGTGGGGGCTCCCCCCAGACAAAGCCACTTCCTCAGATCTCCACACCTCTCAGTTAATGGCACTCATAACTTCTTGATGCTCAGGTCCCAATGGCCTCCTCTATCCCATCCCCGGACAACCAGTCAGTGGGCAAACCCTGTGACTTTCATAGTCAAAGCCACCCAGAATCTGTCTCCACAGCCCATGAACCACAACAGACTCCTGCCTGGTGTCCTGGTCCCCTGTCCCAAATCTGCTCCTCACAGCAGCCACACAGCAGCAGGATCAGACCACGTACCTCATCCCCAACCTCCACCTCAGGAGAAAGCAGAGTCCTGCCCAGGCCCAGGGGCTTCCCTCATCACCTCCCTGTCCCCATCCCTCTCACTTCCTACCCATGCCCTTGACTTCTTGATCTTAACCCCCAATTTCTCCAGACTCTCTCCATCCCCATCCCTCCTACTCCTCTACCCATGCCTGTGCCTTCTCTGTCTCAACCCCCAATCTCTCCAAACTCTCCCTGTCCAATGATGTGTCTGTCCCAACCTTAGGCTAACTTTGGCAAAGCTTGGATGTCTTGGCCAACCTGTGTCTCTGGCATTGTCCAGCATCAGGCTGAATCACAATCATGACTCAGATATTGAGCAAATGCAAGGGGGTTCCCTGGCCCTCACCATGGGCTTCACATCCTAGGTGCTACTTACGGCAATTGGTTGGTGACCTCCAGTTCCCAACAGAGACACCCAGTTCTGCACAGGCCTGGGCATAGGCGCTAAGGCTCCGGCACAGGCTGAGGCGTTCCCCTCCAGTCACACAGAGGTCAAACACACAGTCCTCCAGGAAAGGCTTGGGGTCCAGGAATTCGTGGCAGGCAGAGAAGGGGCCTGTGGACAGAGTTAGCATGCCACAGAGACGGTCTCCCTTATAGTGCTGGGTCTGGCCTGCAGTGCAGGAGGGACAAGTAGTGTGGCAGCCATCATCACACAGGTAGTCCCCATCATCCAGCTTCCAGCTATTTGCAAATTCCAAGGCATCCGGAGCCTGTTCCCCGTCAGGTGTGAGGAAGTCGTCAGCAGGGTCTCCATTATAGTTGCCACACAGCCCCCACACCTGGTTTTGGAAGCGCTTGGGTAGGCTTACTGTCAGCTGGCAATCCCAGTCATAGGTGACCACCAGCCCAAAGTCCAGCTCTATAACACCTCGTGTTCCACTCTGGTACACACGCAGGCGACCCTCACTCAGGGAGGCAGGGAGACGGGAGCGCTGATTGTCGATCTGCAGAGAGGCGGCAGCGGTCAGACCCCTGCATTATCTCCCCTTCAGCCCTCATCTCCTCCACTCAAGTCCCCAGCTCTAGTCACACAGGACACCCTCCTTCCTTGCCCTTCCTTTGTCCTTCCCAGCGGAGCCCAGGGATGCTTGCCCTTGCATCTCTAGTGGCCTGAGGTGTTCTTCCCCCGAGATGTGCATGAAGACCCCCCTCCCCAGCTAATGTCTGCCGAGGTGTCACCGACTCAGTGAGGCCACCCCTGATCACCCTTCCTGTTGCCTCTCCTCCTCTGCTTCCCAGTCCCCACAGCATCTCGCCTTCTCCCACAGCGTGCTAGTGTCCCACACCCTCCATCTGTCGGAGCCACTAAAGGCCACCTCATGGCTTTCTCTCCAGCGCCTCCAGCAGTGCCCGGCAGAAGAGCAGGCTGGCTACAAGCATGAAGCCAGTGTGAGGAAGGAAGCTGGCAGGTCTGGTGGCAGCAAGGGGCAGCTGCAGGGAACCAGTGAAACCAGCAGGATTCGTGGTCCTGAGCTAGGGAGTGAGAGACGGGAGGCTGTGGGCAGAACTAGTCAAGACCAGCAAATCTGCCAGAGGGCGGCCAGCCCCATTAAACCACCACGGTGGCATATCAATCAGCATAGTAACATCTCTGCCCAGGGGCAGCTATAACTCAAGCACTGGCACATTCCGAGCTGTGGGCAAAGTGGCACATGTTCCCGAATGCCTCCTCCCTCTCTAAGAAGCAAGTTGTTGGCTGTCTTTCTGCTCTGTGACACACCTTCACTTTAGAAGGGCCTCATGTCTGTCCTCCACCTCACCCCTGCCAACGGCCATGAAATAAGCTCATTTTTTTCTGACCCTGTCCGTGCTGGGAGACCACAGGGGAAGAAGCAGTCACACAGCATGACCAAACAGTGCAAGCTGAGGACTCAGGCTGAGGCTCTGTAGAGGGTTGCGGCTGGACTGGAAGCCTCGAGAGAAGGCTGTACTGAATTCTGCCAGCCAAGGAAGTCTCCCCAGAAAAGGGAGAGCTGAGTCAAGCCTGGAAGGACCAACAAGAGCCCCGGCTATTCTGGAGGACATAGGAGGCCTGCAAGTGTGAGGCCAGCGGGTAACCCAGTGAGCCCTGTCTCAAAACGAAAGGAAGAGAGCTGGAATGTAGCCCAGTAGTACGGCACTCAGCTGGCATTTGTGAGGGGGCATTCAATAATCACATTTCAAAAAATTCAATATTTTTTTAAAAGGACCGAAAGAAGTAGTTTCTTGTGTGAAGGAGAAAAAACCAACAGATGATGTCTACGCACAAGTTATAAGTTTTATACTATGCCCTTTTATGAAGTTCTTTGTGAGTCTCTATACTCACTATGTAGACAAGGCTGGCCTCAAGCTCACAGAGGTACCTGTCTCTGCCTCCCAAGCACTGGGAGGCACAACTAACCTATGAGGGAAAAGAATCAAGACAGTGATATGCAGGAGACATTGCCTGAAGACCATCTGGAAAGCTGCGGTAGGGAATCGTCCAAGGTGATGAAAAGATTCTCTATCTTAACGGGGGTTTTGTTACACGTTTGTCAAAACTCAGTTGAAGTGCATACTTACAGTACATGATTTTGGTTTTGAGGGGGGGGATGTGTGTGGAGTGAAACTGGGGCTTTCCAGGTGTGGTGGGACACTCGGGAGGCAGAGGCAGGCAGATCTCTGTGAGGTTCAGGCCATGCTGGCCTACACAATGAGTTCCAGGCCAGCCAGAGTTATGTAGCAAGATTCTGACTAAAATAAAAATTAAAACAGAAACTACAAGTGTTCTGCCCTGACTATACACCCAGTCCTTCATTTTTTCAGAGTCTAAGTGGGTGCTGTGCCACTGAATATAAATATATATATTAATCTGAAAATAAAGCAAAAATTATTTAAAAATTGCATTCTAGTTAATGATACGTATGTTGAAGTCATTTTGTTGATGTTTTCTGATGTCTATAATTGAGTTTCAAGTACATAAAAAATGAGCCTGTCAATCTGACAGGAATGTACAGATGGGTATCTGTGGTAAATGAAGAAATTAAAATGTTGAGAGTCTATGCAGGGGGCTGATATACAAGTGCTCACTGTCTAAATTACCTACCCTTGGTTCAAACATCTGAAATCTGAAATAATGAAATGAATCTGATACTTTTTTAGCATTAAGAAGACATTATACATGTTTTCAGTCCCTGATACCAGAAAGGAGGATGAATAAGATTTTAAAAATGTGTGCGCTGAACACCATGTATGAAATTATCTTTAGGCTTTGTGTTAGGAATGTATGGAACCTAAATGAATTTTGTGTTTAGGCTTGAGTCCCATCATAGTATGGACATACAAATATTCCAAAATCTTTAAAAGTTCAAAATCTGAAGCATTTTTGGCCTCAAGCATCTCAGACAAGGGAATCTCAACCTGCACAGTGACTTGTTTAGAGACTTTCCCGCTTCCATGGTGTCATGGTGGGGAAGGGAGATAACCGCTCCTGCTTGGACTGCACAGCAATGTGTACCAGACTAAGCACAGAGACCCGGCCGCTAACTGCATGTGTCCATTTCCAGTGTTTCTAGGAAGACCTAGCTCTCGGGCCTTCAATCTCTTTCCTCACCTGTGCCCGCTCACAATACAATGCCACCTCAAAAAGATGCTGTAAGCATTAAAGACAGAATGAACCAAAAGAAAAAAAAAGAAAAGAAAAGAAAAGAAAAGAATGTACCCAGAAGCAGACCTGGCCCCAGCACAGCAACACCAGTGGTGACTGTGTTAACACTAGAGATCCTTCATTTTTGGACAGTTACATCATTCCCTTTCCATTTTCTCTTTTCCCGCTTTTCCAAAGAGTGTCTGATTGTCGTCTTCCTAATCAGTCACTAAACTAAACATCCTTAACGTTTCTAGATGCGGAGTTAGTGAGGGGAAGGTTTTAAAGAAATGCTACTGGTTTTCATATCTCACCAGTTCCCTACCACCTCACCCACAGACAGGCCGTGAGTTTGGAGTCTGAGAGCAGGGCTTGGGCTCCTGTTTTTGACTGGTGGCTCATGGGTACTCAACTCTGAACACTTACCCGGGCGAAGCCAGTTTCCCCACGAACCAGCGACACCGAGTGGCTGTAGGCGTAGACTGTGACCAAGCCCACGTAGGAGACTTGCCGGCTGCCACGGTGCTCATTCTTGGCCTCCACACTGAAGGCGGGCAGGGTCTCATCCTCTCCACTCAGCTCAGCCATGGTGTAGGAGCAGGTGCCCATCATGTCATAGCGACGGCCATCGAAGGTGGTATAATGGGGATCACCCTGGGCGCGGCAGACAGCTGTGGACTCTGCCACACACCTGGCCTTCCCACTCACCATCTGGCAGCGCTGCCCGGATGTACACTGAATGCCTTGGCAGGAAGCCTCTGCTGGGGAGAGCCGAGCTGGGGAGGGAAGAGAGTTAGAAACAAAGTTAGAAATGTTTGTGAGGTCAGAAACCTGGGGTCTTCCTTCAGTGTGGACCATGGGCAGTTGGCTCACAACCACCCATTTTACAGGCATGGAAACTGAGGTTTGCAGTCTCATGGAGAGGGATTCTCTGGGTTTCCTGACACCCCAGGTTTCTTTTTCTTTTTCTTTCTTTTTTTTAAAAGATTTATTTATTTATTATTATACAGTGTTCTGCCTGTAGTCAGAGCACCAGATCTCATTACAGATGGTTGTGAGCCACCATATGGTTGCTGGGAATTGAACTCAGGACCTCTGGAAGAGCAGCCAGTGTCCTTAATCACTAAGCCATCTCTTCAGCCCCACCCCATGGTTTCTGATTTCATTGTTTAACACAGCTTGGCCCAGAGGAGTGGCAGGGAGTGAAGAGGGACCAGGAGCAGCCATTGAAACATTCAGCTGTTCCTGGTTCCATTTCCCTCTTCCTTGTCTTCCCATCTGCTGGAATGAACAAGGACAGGAAATGGAGGACAGGACGGGGGATGTGGGTAAAGCGCTTGCTGTGTGAAAGCTGGGCACGGTGGCATGCACGGGTGTTAGCTCAGTGAGACCGAAGGGAGCAGTGACAGGCAGGTCCCAGGGCTGGCTTTCAGCCAGTTCTGCTGATGGAGAGCTCCAGGCTCAGAATCTCAAAAACAAACAGACAAGATGGGGAGGGTCAGAAAAGGATACCTGGCAATGATCCCTGGCCTCTACACGTGTGCTGGGGTGTGCATACCTCCTTACACGCAAATACACACACACACATATGCATGCCTGGGCATGCAAACTCGCACACACATGCATGCCTGGGTGTGCATACATATAGATACACACATGTTGTAAGTGCCCCTTGAACTGGGGTGGCATTTTTGCCAGGATAAGGAAGCCCTGGTCTAGGTTCCCAGTTTGAAGAAGACAGTCTGGGAAGAAGCAGCCCTTCCTGGTGAGCCTCCAGTCCTCAGAACTCTCTCCTTCTGACCCCCCTGGCAACAGCTCACCCCGCCCCGCCCTGACCTTCCGCCACAAGGAAGTGCATTAATTTCTTCCACTCTCAGCACAGTCCTGTTGTGTGTGCGTGTGTGTGTGTGTGTGTGTGGGGGGGGGGTGTCAGGCATTATCCCCACTTCAGAGTCACAGAAACTGAAGCCCAGAGAGGTAGAGTGACAGGCCAAAGGTCACACAGGCACAGCTGGGGTTTAACCCCAGGCCCTCTGGCTCTGGCCCTGCATTCTCACAACCCCTGAGCTACCTGCTGGCATCTTCTGAATGGGCTGAGCCTGAGGTCGCACACAGGGCCAGATCCTGTCCCTTAACCATGCCAAAGCACATGAAGCACCCGGGGAGGCTGGAGTGCAGAGACGCCCCCGTCCCGGGGTCCTCACTGTTAGTGCTTTGGGATCTCCAGACTTTGAGCATCAACAGTCCTCCATGAGACGTGCAGTACTGCAGTTAGCAACAGGCATAACTGGATCAGTTGCTGAGGTATCAAAATATTGACCAGTCCCTTCCCAGAGATCCCTCCACCCTGGCCTCCTGGGTCTCCCCAGGACCCTTTTCATAAGCTCATCAGAAACCAATAGAGTGCCCAGTAGGAGCTCCCTGATGCAGTGCTATGGATGGTGGTGCCTTTAGTCACTCTTGCTGGTAAATATTTAGAATGATTTTCTGTAGGGGTAGGAAGGGGCTGAGAGGAATTAAGGAAGTGTGCCGTGGAGGATAGACATGAGATAGAAAGGCTGACTAAATCAGGAAGCCAAAGAGGAACAGGTAAGGAAGGCATGGCCAGGAGGCCAAGGCCAGGGATCATTTCCCATCACTCACTCTGTCCACAGGCAGCTCCTGTCCCATAGCCCACAGCCTGGGCCAGCCCGAAGGTGAGCAGCCCAAAGCTGGTGGAAGCCTCAGCTGTGTGCATCTCGTCAGCAGTGCCAAGGTCCACTTCTGCATAGGAGAACTCACTGCCCGGCACAGCCACCCAGGTGAGTTTGGCTCCCAATGCCTGCCCATCCATGGTTAGCTCCCTGGTAGCCTTTGTCTGTGCGACCACCAGGGCCACACCCTCAGTGCCTGGCATACTCTTGATCACATAGGCAGGGCAGTAGGCTGCCACATCTGGGATCAGGACCAGGTAAGGGTCATAGGTCACTTGGTCCTTTATGGCCCCTGTACCAAAAAGTACAACCTGGATGCCCACATCTGCAGACAGGTAGAGTGGCCGGGTTGGCCGGATCTCGAACTCAGCTACATCACCCATTTGGAGGCCCCGGGAACCAATGGTGCCCCCATGGTTGTATGTCAGTTTTGTGGTCTGGCTGGCTACAACATAGGCTAGATCATAGCGGGACTGGGAGGTCAGAGGGGGGACCACATAGTGGGTTCCCCAGGCAGATGTGGGTAGCAGTTGCTCCACCACATGGTTGCAGTTCGTGTGTTTCTGGACACAACTGTGGCCAGAAAGAACAGCCACTGGACTACTGGCTGTGACCCTTGATCCGGAGAGATCTGCTGTGCTCTGTAACTGGGCTACTTCATAAGGCTGCAGAGTCACAGTTAATATACTACCAGCTGGATGGAAAGTGCCATGGAATGTCACTCCTGCCTTCAAGCTGATAGTAACTGAGGCACCTGCTCTGCCAGCCACCACAGCAAACTCCTTCACATATTGGGCAGAGATGCCAGGGGGTGTGAGCACAAAGTACTCTGTGCCCAGGGCTCCAACAGGCCAGAGCAAGGTTAGCTCCGCTGTTCTAGGCTTAGCATTTAATGCCTGCACAGAGATGGGGTGGTCAGAGTGGACCACTACTGCATGCCGGAAAGTGCTGCTGCCAGTCATCTCTGCTTTGGCATTGATGTTGACCATGACTGACTCCCCAGGCTTCACTGTGACCTTCTGTGAGGTGTCATCCGCCTGGCTGAGGATGGTGACAGAGGCGATGCTCTCTGACAGACTGGAGATGAAGAGGTGGAGAGAGGCCGTGCTGTACCCCGGCTGGTAATTCTGCAGGAAGGCCGTGAGGAATTCTTCCCCACCAGTGTTCCTGGAGTTCACTGTGGCCTCCTGGGTCAACCCTTAAGAAAACGCAGGTGTGGGTCCACTTATTCGTCCCCTTACAAACCCAGCCCGCTGGCCTGTACCTGAGAACCTCTTGAAATAACTCCCCCTCTGCTCCCACGTCCCTCCTCACTCATGCAGCCCTCATCTACACGCCGTTCTGGCTTTCGCTGCCCAACACCTGAGCACTTTGCACAGCGCTCTTGAACTCAGCTGCAGCAGGGCCAGATGAGGCCTAGAGATGAGTGAGGTAGTCCAGAAGGTGACTGTGGACCCTGGAGCACCATGCTCCACCTAAACAGCTTTTGCTGGTTGTTAATATGAAAGATTGGAGCCTTTCAAAAATGCCACACATTTACATTTTTCAAGAAAAGCTGTTTGGCTAACTGAAGTTCTAAATGAAGTTTCCATTCAATCTGTGTAGTTTCTGTCTTAATATGACTAGGGGATTTGTGTGAAGCGGGTGGAGGGGGAAAGGGATTGTAGAAATGTGGACAGAGTGTCTGTGAGAACTAGAGGGTAGGGGGCTCTTCAGTTTGTGTGTATGCATGCGTGCGTGCGTGCGTGCGTGCGTGCGTGTGTGTGTGTGTGTGTGTGTGTGTGTGAATGAGAGAGAGAGAGAGAGAGAGAGAGAGAGAGAGAGAGAGAGAGAGAGAGAAGCATAAATGAATTCTATCATATTTCTTGTTTTACCCAAGGGCCTCTTCAATTTCAGCTGCTTCTGTCTCATTTAAGTTAGCCTTGGGGGATGGCACCGAGAGGGGCCAAAACTTGAGGGTGCTGACCCGGGCAAGCAGAGTTTTCCCAAACATGAATGGGGGCTTGATCTGACTTACCCCACAGGAGCGTTGCTCCGGCCCAGAGGGCCCACCAGCTCCACAGGGATCCCATGCCTGCAGCAGGGAGAGAGGGAGGTCAGAGGATGCTGTCCTGTTGGAGACTATTCCAGATGGGACAGAAGGGACAGTCTCAGGACAAGGACCACCTGGGTGTAAGGAGGGCTCAAGTAGGAAGGGAAGTTAAATAGATAGGACCAGATGGGTTTGGGGTTGGGGGTGAGGCTGGGCATGAGATGAGGAGGTCAGGATCAAAGGCAATGGATGGGGTAGCCAGGGGTCTGAAGGTAGCGGTAAAGAGGTGATCTAAAACCCAGATCCAGAATAGGGTGTTAGTTGTCCCCCTTCTGCAGAGAACCTCAGCCCTTCTCACCTGCCGGTCCCGGAGCTGCAGGACCAGATTGAAAGCTAGGCTATATAGTGGAGATTCCTGGCTCCTTCGGCCACACCCTGGGTCACCTGACAAGCCCATGATGCCAACTTCCTGGAGGAGGAGGAGGATGCTCTCAGACCAGGTGGAATGGGGAGCCCTGAAGACCTGCCAAGGGTGGAGGATGAGTCTGCAGCCCGTGTTCTGAGAGGGTGTGAGAACAGCTGGCGGCTACACCCTGGGAGCTTATGGATCAATTCAGTCCTGGGAGGGCGTCGTCCTTATGGAGACAGCTGGAGAGCAGCATGTTGAGATCCTGGGTTCCTAGGCAGGGTTAGGGTAGTAGTTAGGGTTTGAAATCGAGATGGGAGGTGGCAGCTAGTCATGTTTGCCGGCTCACTGGCCAGATTACTTTCTTTGACCCCTGCCAGAAACAACAGTAAAGCACTCATATCCGGGCCCTAGTTCCTTGCAGTCCCAAGCTGAGCCTTGGTTCCTAGCCATTGCACATTCTTTCCAGTCACCAGTGGAGGATGGTGTCTGGGGGTGGGCAGGGGTGTGAGGCCTCGACCCAGGCCTGTGATGTGGATCCCAACATGCTTACCCCAAGTCCATCGAGGTCTCCCGGGTTTCTCACCTAGGAAGTGGAAACATGGAAAAGTGTCTTTGCTCGGCTCCTTGATGTTCTGAGGTGCTCTTTAACTCTTGTGGCAGGGAAGGGGTAAAGCGGGGAGGCCTGGAACTCAGGCTGTGTGTGACAAAGGCCAGAGGTCTCTATTTCCTGATTCCACAAGACCATGAGGGTTTCACTTCCTGGAGAATTATTTGGTTTGGAATTTTTCTGCTTTCTGTGGTTTTGTCATCCCTCTCCTTTTTTCTTCCTTTCTTCTTTCTTTTGTACCCTAGAAGGGGCTGACTGGACAGGTTTTGAGTGACTCTGTGCCTCCCCATTACCCTGCACCTGGTCTGAGATGAGGCATAGGGGCAGGTGGTATAGTGAGAGGCAAGGTGGTGTGGACTTTCTAGGCTGGGGTCAGCATGTCTCATGGGCCGTGCCATACTCTCCTGATCCCTACTTTGGAGGTCAATGTTTGCCGAGGAGTCTCCTCAGGAACAGCAGCTGCAGAGCCTAGCATCCTCTGTCAACACCCCCTCCCAGCTCCTCCTCCCTTATCGCTGAGGCCCAGACTTCTGTGCACCTGGGTGGGTGGAGGATCTTCCCTCTAGGGCTGTGACTTCTCATATAACCACTCAGGGCCAGTTTTCAGAGGGGAAGATAAAGCTTTGGTACTGATAGGGCCCTCACGTCAATCAGGCAAGAGAAGTGAGTCAACAGGAGGCTGGATGGAAGCCAGAGATGAGCAGAAACAAGTGGGTGCAGGCGAGGGGTGGGAGTCATGGAGAGTGAGGACTTGGGGGAGGACAGAGGCATAGTATCCTCAGGGAACCCCTCTGAGAGCCAGGAGAGAACATGGCAGAGTCCCTGAGGGAAATACAGCCTGGAAAGAGAAGATACCAGGACTACCAAGGATGAAAGTGATGTTAAACGAAGATGGCAAACCCCTCTATGTGGTTACCTCTCTTCTCCTTTCAGACCCTCAGAGAAATGAGATGTGAGGAGGAAAGCATTAGGGCACAGTGTTCTCAGAGAGAATTCTGACCCCCTTTCCACGCACTCCTCTAAGCCTTAATGTCTCCCCTGACTGAAATCAAAGAGAAACCTACCCCTTTGATCACTGCCCTCTGCAGATGGATGCCTCAGAAATAGGGTGGTGGAGCAAGTCTCATGAACACTGTAACTTGGTAACTCCTTGGGACCTTGTCTGTTACTCCTTTCAGGGTTCAAAGTGTGTGTGTGTGTGTGTGTGTGTACTCATGCATATGTGTGTATTATGATACAGTCCTGTGCCCTACCCCAGATTATTTATATTCTCAGGAATCTCACTAACAACCCCGGAAATAACCTACAGGGACACTTCCTTATGGTCAAAGAAATCATATTCATCCTGACCACGATAGCTTTCCTCTGAGCCCAAGGGTGTTTAAATTTGAACCTTTGAGCCTCTCCTTATATATGAGGCAGGAAACACCATTCCAGATCCTGGGGGAGCCTCTGACTTGTCTGGGCTCTACAAGCCAGGACACAGGACAAATGATTTACTGTGTCCAGCTAAGGTCTGGTTTTGCTGGAAGTTTCTAATTGTATTCCTTCACACTCTGGATCCAATGATCTGACTTGTACATGCACAGAAACTGCTCTAAGTTTTCCAATGATCTGTTCCTTGCCACATGGTTCTAGCTCCTTCTCTGTAATATCAAACATCAGTATTTCCTCATTGAAACTGTCTTGGCTTCCATATCACCTTCTGGATTTTGTGATACTTTGGTCTGTTTCCTACATGCACATCTTCAATGCTGCTAACTTTTAGATTCCTTTTATGGTCTTTCTATTATTCTTCTCCAGAATGCAACCATGTTTGCCCATGCTGTTCAACAGAATGTCCAATGATGATGAACACTTTCTCTCCTCTGCCTGTGGTAGACAATTCAGCTGTTGAACTCATGAGGCTACTGAGCACTTGAAACGTGGCAAGTGTAATGGAGGAGCTGGATTTTTTTATTTAGTGTAATTTAAAACGAGGACCTGCACCCAGTGTCCATATTTGCTACCACACAACACTAGAGCTGTTACTACACAGGCTCTATGGATGCTTATTTGCTCTGCCATCCACATACCTAGTCATTTACCCTATATTTCCTTTTCATTCCTTTGGTTTCCTTATAGACAACTGTTCTGATGTGATCCATGAGTCTATTTTTCCCAGTATCTGATTAAAATAAGATACAATATTAATAAGTAAACAAACCATAAATGTATATAGCTCATTAAATCACCTCAAATAAATACACCCTTACAATCTTCAGGTGAAGTCTTTATAAGCCAGGTGAAGTCTTTAGCAAGAACATTCTAGCATCCCAGAGACATTTTTCATGCTCCCAACCTCTTGAAAGCTAGTGACTAGTTTGGCTTCTAATATCATAGGTTATTTTGTTTTTGAATTCTGTGTAAATAGAATCATGTTTGTCTTGTTTTGTGATTATCTACTTTTAATCAGTGGCTTCTTTGCCCAAGTAACTGTATTTTATTTTCAATGTGACATGATATTCAGTTTTATGAAAACATACTTATCCATGAACATTTGGGTTGTTTTTACTTTAGCTAATGTTTTTGTACATGTACACAATTTCTTTGGAAAGTAGTGTGACGTTCCAAATTGTAAATTTCCCAGGTTACTGGATTAAGATTTAGATTCTGTCAATATTTTCTCAAAACTAAGGCACTAATTTCAGCTTGCACAGTGTGTATGACCTGATGACCTGGAACTGGAGTTCCAGAGGGTTGTGAGCCACAGTGTGCATGGTGGGAGCCAAACCTGGCTCCTCTGCAAGAGAAGTTGCTGCTCTCAGTAGCTGAGTCACCTCTCCAGACCCTGGCCTGTGGTTTCAGTCTGTGCTCATCAGTGAGACTGAACACATTTTCACGTGTTTATTGGCCATTTGGATCTTTCCCAATATTTTTCATTGCTTGTCTAACTGATCTATATGGATTCTTTCTATAGTTTGAACATAAACTGTTTGTTGGTTACGTATTTTGCAAATATTTCTTCCTTCTCTGTGATCTGGCTTTTAATATTCCTAAGAATGAAAAAGGATCTTAATTTTAATACAGTCTATTTTGAAACTGGCCTTTTCTTGTGACAATATTGAGTATTCCAATCCATGAACATTATTTTTCCATTTATTTATATCTTGATCTCACCAGTATTTTAAAATTTCTCAGAATACAAATCTACTTATTCTGTTAGATTTACTAATGAATTTTAACTTTTTCTGGTGCAATTATAAATGGTAGTATGCTTTTAATTTTAGATTCCATGTTTTCATTGTTAATGTACAGAAACACATTCAGTTTTTGTCAAGTTGGGCCTTCTTGTTTTTCCCAAAATTTGATAGCTCTTCCTTTTCTCATATTCTTGCTGTCTTCCGAATGGTTCAGAGCTCAGAGAGTTGGTTCTCTCTTTCCACCTTTTTATGTGGCTTCTGGGGAGCAAACTCAGGTCATCAGGCTTATGTGGCAAAGGTCTCTACCCATTAATCCATCTCACTAGTCCTTGTCAGTCCTTTGAACTGTCAAATGCCCTTTTGCACCGACTGAAATGGTCTTACGGTGTTGCCACTCATTCTGTTAATGTGCTGTGCCATGTTTATTGTGTTGCATATGTTGAAACGTCCTTGCATCTCTGAAATTAACCCCACATGTCATACTAATTAGAATGATCTAATTGATGTCTGATTCTGTTTGCTAATCTTCTGTTGAGGATTTTTTTTTGTATCTGTTTATCAAGAATCTTGGTATTCCTTTCTTCTGCCTTTCCTTTTGTTTGAGACAAGGTCTTTCTACATAGCCCTGGCTGCCATGGAACTCACTATGTAGACCAGGTTAGCCTCAAATTCACAGAGATTTGACCCCCAAGTGCTGGAATTAAAGTCATTTGCCACCATACCAGGCTATTCTGCCTTTCTTTTTTATTATGATTTGTGATGATCAGTTTTCACTGCCAACTGGTCTGGATTTAGAATCACCTAGGAAACAGAACACTGGATGTGTCTGTGAGGACATTTCTAGCATGTTTCAACTAAGGGTCTCTATCTATCTATCTATCTATCTATCTATCTACATATATATACATATATATATATCAGTTTGTGTATGATTACTGCTCTCTACTCTTATCCAAGTTTGTAGTGAGAAAGATCAGTAAAGGGGGCAAAACATTTTATATACATTATAAACATTGTATATATACATTTTATATGTATTGGTGTTTTGCCATGGGTGTTGGGTCCCTTGGAACTGGAATTACAGACAGTTGTGAGCTACCATGTGGGTGCTGAGAGTTGAACTCGGGTCCTCTGGGAGAGCGGTCAATGCTCTTAACCAATGAGCCATCATCTCTCCAGCCTACTAAGGAGTGGTTTTTTTTTTTTTTTTTTTTTTTTTGGTTTTTCGAGACAGGGTTTCTCTGTGTAGCTTTGCGCCTTTCCTGGGACTCACTTGGTAGCCCAGGCTGGCCTCGAACTCACAGAGATTCATCTGGCTCTGCCTCCTGAGTGCTGGGATTAAAGGCGTGAGCTACCACTGCCCAAGCAAGGAGTGTTTTAACTATTCCTTTTTATTTAGTCTGGGATCCTACCATAAATGTTGGCAGCCACCAACACTGATTAAAAAGGACTAGAGAAAATACACTGAGTACCAGCACTCATGTCCCTATGTGCTGATTGTGACTGCAATGTGACCAGCCACCTCATAGTCCCATTGACATGCCTTCCCCACTGTGACAAACCACTTCCTTAAACTGTGAGATAAATAAACTTTTTTCATGAGTTGCTTTTCTCACAGCAATGAAAAAAAAGTAACTAACACGGAAGTTTGGTACCTTGGGGCTGTTGCAGTGACAAACCTGATCGTGTGGTTTGTGGGCCTTTGGAACTGATTTTCCTCAGGAATGTGGAAGTGTTTCGAAGGCAGTTTAAAGAAGCCCTAGATGAAGCCAGGCAGTGGTGGTGCATACCTTTAATCCCAGGAAGCAGAGGCAGGTGGATTTCTGAATTCCAGGCTAGTCTGGTCTACAAAGTGAGTTCCAGGACAGCCAGGGCTGTTACAGAGAAACCTTTTTCGATGCTATAACAGAGTGTAATAGGATATTCTGGCTGGTGTTGGAATGATGTCAAAAAGGTGGGTAGTGAAAACTGTGCTCGAGATTTCACAGGGAGAATAAAACTACCAAAACTGGAACAGAGTCCCATGTGTTACACCCCGTTAAAAAACCAAATCTGTCTCGGGAACTCAAGTGAGGCTGAATTCAAAAGCAACAGACTAATTTGTTTACAAGAGGAAATTTCAAGACAGCATTCAGTTTGTGTATGTTCACTGCTCCCTGCTCATATCCAGGTTTATAGTGAGAAAGATCAGCAAAGGGGGCAAAATGGTACGAAAAGTATGCTCTTGGCAAGGCAAGGACATGGACAAGTTTAAAGTTGCAGACAAGTAGGGTGAGGAGAAAGCAGTCATGATTGTTAGGGAAATTAGCATGATTAAGGAGAAATCTTGAATGTTTCACTGTGATAATAGGGAAGCTGCTTGAGGGCAAGAACTACCTTATAAAAAGCTTCTGTGTGTAAACTGAAACTCCTTCTGAGAGACTGAACTAAGAACACAGCTAAAGGGGTCTTCTGCTCAAAAGTAAACACCTAAGTGTTTTTCCAGGTTCAGTTGCCAAGGTACACAGACCACAGCTGCAGTGGAAGACGGCCAGATCATATCTGAAGGTGACAGCAGCACTGGCCAAATGGTACTGGCTGGGCATGTGTGCAAAATACAAGATGGGGTGGAGAGACGGCTCGGCCGTTCAAGGCTAGGCTCACAACCAAAACACAGAAGAGTGATGGGATCGTAGAGCCTTACTGCAAGGTTCCAGAAAGCTGCTAAATTCAGGTGTAAGTGTTACAGCTCTGAGGGGAAAGGATTCCCCAATGCAAGTGTTGCAGCTCTGAAGGGAAAGGTATCCTGGCAGTCAGGAGCCAAGGGATACCACAAAGTCACACTGCACAACAAACCTCACACAAGAAACATATTGGGAAAGACACAAGAGGGTGGCTGCCTCTGCTTGATGAGCAGCAGAGAACTGAGGGGGAGGCAGCCTTATGTAGGGTTTCTGGGGAGTGGAGTTTTCCAGAGTGGGAATTGGTGGGTTTTCAAGTTCAGGGATTGGTGGGTTTTCAAAACCTGGAAGTGAGCTTGGACTTTTTACCCTACACAAGCAATGTGTGACAGAGTCAGATTCAATGCAAAAAGTTCCATTATGTAGGTTAGTGAATGTGAAACCTAAGCTGCAATGTTGGACAGTGGAGATGCTAGGACCATGGAATGTCTCTCCAGGAAAGTTGTAGTCATGGAATGAAACTGGCCCAATGGAGGGGGTGGATATCATCACATTGGCTACAAGTGGCGAAGCTGGAGGAACAGGGTTACCTACAGCTTTTGGAAGTGAGATGATGCTACCAAGAGCCCAAGATAGCAGGCATAAAGCTTAAGATTTGGTGTTTGCTCTACTGGATTTCTATCTTGTTATGAGCCACACCCCCCCCAACGCCCCATTTTAGGATGGGAATATTTACCACGTCATTGTATATTGGAAGTAGATAACTTCTGTAAAACAGATGCTCAGAGTTAAGGAATTACCTAGTCTCAGCAGATGCCCTGCCTTTACTATTTTGAGTAATGTTAGAAACTGATAAGTTTTTGGAGACTTTTAGTGATGATCTAAATTTATTTTTCATTGTGAGATAAATATGAGACTTTTAGGAGCTAAAAATGAAATGTTCTGATTTAAAAGTGATGTTTTGGGTGCCAAGTTGACAAGGGGAGGGCTTGAGACCGTCGACCTTCACTGTCAGGTGGACTGGATTTAGAATCAGCTGAGATGCACTCCTGGATATGTCTGTGAGGGTGTTTCTAGAGTTTCATTTGAGCAAAGACCCACCCCCCACTAATGAGATGGCACTATTCTATGGCCTGAGATCCCAGGCTGAACAAAGATGAACAGAGGAGAAAGTGGACTGAGTCTTAGACTCACCTCTTTCTGCTCTAACTGGACCCACTGTGGCCGGCCACCTCACACTCCACTACTGTGCTTTCTCCATCAAAACGGACTGCACTCCCTCAAACCAAGGGCCCAAATAAAGCTTTCCTTCCTGAAGTCGCTTTTATCAAGTATTTCTTTAAACAGCAACAAGAAAAGTAACTAGTCATTGTGTCCATGTCATCTATGGCTTGGTATCTATGGCATGCTGGCCTTGTAGGATGTGTTAGAAACTTAATTTTCAGGCCAATGCTGTTGTTCATACTAATCTACAAAGATCCTTTGTGGTGTCAGAGCTATAGTGATCTGTGGTGTCAGATGTAATGTCTCTCTTTCACCTTTCACTTTACTTATTTGGACGTTCTCTCTTAGTCCAAGTAGTGGTATACCTGTTTCCAGTGCTTGAAGACAGCAAAGGAAAGAGGCATTAGGAATCTGCTTGCTGATATTTATACATTCACAGTTCATCAAGCGTCAACTGAAGTCCCAACAGGTCCCTATCAGCTTTGCTTTAACAGTCAGCAGCTGTCAACCAATACAATGCCAATTTATACTAAACAATAAAGATGAACTGTTAACACACAATAATATGAGTAAATCTCAGAATAATTAGACTGAGTGAAAGAGCACACGCTATTATATAAATTTCTAAGGTGTAGTTTCGAAGGTAAAGGGAGAATATAAAGGGACATAAAAAGAACATTAGAGTGTAGAAGATATATTTATCATCTTAATTCTGTTGATATGTATGTATAAAAATATTAAACTGTACCAAACTGTACACTTTAAACATGTGCCCATGGATTGGGCCAGTAAAACAGACCAGTGGATAAAGGGACTTGCCACCGAGGCTTACAACCTAACTTCTACCCCGAGGTCCCACATGGCAGAAGGATCAGACTCCCACAAGTTATCTTCTGACCTGCACACATGTGCCCTGGCATACACACGCCCCCAACCCCTAAACAAAAAGCAATAGAATCTGAAATATGTATTAGTTATTACAGATTGGTTGTAGCTACTTCATAAAGGTATTATTTAAGAAAGTGAAATAGATGTAAGTGTACCAAGTTACATGGATAATTTGTATACTAAAAGGGAAAAAAGAGCCGGGCAGCGGTGGTGCATGCCTTTAATTTGAGCACTTGGGAGGCAGAGCCAGGCAGATCTCTGTGAGTTCGAGGCCAGCCTGGTCTACAGAGTGAGATCCAAGACATGCACCAAAATGACACAGAGAAACCCTATCTCGAAAAACCAAAATAAATAAATAAATTTAAAATAAGAAAAGCGAAAAAAGAATAAAAATGGAAATCAAAGGCTTACATAGGCCTATCACATTATACAGATCAGAAGTGCCAATATTGTTACAATGCCAAGTCTTCCTGAATGCAATCCACATACAAATTCTAGCAGAATTTTTGGTATATTATGGAAATATGCAAATCATACACATATGTGTGAAGAGAATCTGGGCTAAGAGTGTGGGCAGTTCTTAGAAGTTTTCTTTAACTCTGAAAATTCAAACTGAAAAGATTTTTGAAAAAGTTTTTTTTTTTTTCTTTTTGAGACAGGATCTCACAGCCTGCTATGTAGATCAGGCATGTGCCTGCCTCTGTTTCCCAAGTGCTGGGATTAAAGGCATGCACCATTGCGCCTGGTCTTATTTTTTCTTTTTAAAGTATTATTTTGTGAATACTTCACTAAATCCTTTAAATTGTATTATAGCCCATAATGAATGTCTCATAGTGGACAGATGACTTAGAGTTAAACTTAGACTAACTACTCGGGCAGATGACCTAGGTTCAATTCCCAGCTCCCACATATCACAACCAGCTGTAACTCCAGTCCCAGGGGATCAGACATACATACAGGAACAGCACACATACACATGAAATTAAAAAATAAAATGAAAAAAAGTGTTTAAGTTTACTTAACTGTTGTTAGAAACCAGTTCACACTTGGTTCCCTCAAGTGTAACATTTCTTCATTTTACTATTATTCTTACTCTCTTCTGAGAGGTTCGACCCTTCTTCCATCTCTCTCCTAGCACGGGAAGGTCTCCATTCCTGTACCGTTAGAGCAGTCCTGGGGACCAGATGAGTGCACACCACGCCTCAGACGGCGGGCCGAAGCACAAAGACGCTTGCTTCTCTTTTAACCCGCACAGTGTGACGTTTTAAATGAAACGCCAACACTGTAAAGTTCAAAGACTTTAATTAAGAGTCTGGGCCCCCCGTCATTTTGAGGGTGCGCTGGGCATCAACACGTGTAGCAGCCATCTAGCACTGAACTCCACTCACCCCCAGCACTCAGCCTTGGACTTCTCAATCAGCCTGGCGATCTTCGTTTACTTGTTTGCCTGCCCCTGTCTACTGAGCCTCTCCCAAGGCCCTAAGTCCCAGCTACGAGACCAGTGAGGAGTTCTTTGCCGTGGTGGTGGAGCAGAGAGAAAGCAAGCTCTGCGCTTGAATCTGAAGAGATGAAGTGAAGTGAGCCTTCTTGATTCTAGCTTCCCTATGTGTTGAATAGCCCCGCGGGCTGCTCTGGGGAGTGCGATGAAGGGTCTTAATAATACAGTACAGGGAAAGGTGGGTCTAGCTTGCAAAACTCCTGAGAGCATTGGATCTCCTGAATCTTGAGAAAGACTGGCTTACCTGTATAAGATGTTCAACACATCAATGATAACTATCGACGATGTTACAACTCTGGACTCTGACTTTAATGCCATCTCTGTGATTTCTTGCTGAGTGCATGGCAAGTAACTTCACTTCCAGAGCCTGGTTTCTCATGCAGGACCTGAGGACATAGGAAAACCAGGGCTCTCACTTCAAGTACCACTCTGAGGATTAAATCTGAAGGTATGCACAAAGCACTTAAGAATCATTAGTGTAGCCAGTGTGGTGATGCACACCTTTAACCTCAGCACTCAGGAGACAGAGGCAGGTGGATCTCTGAGTTCGAGGCCAGCCTGGTCTGAAGAGTGAGTTCCAAGCCAGTCAACAGCTATAGAGAGTGATCTCAAAAACCAAAACTGAAACAAATTGCACAACTACTTCTTATTTCTGCCATCAACTTTCTAAGGCTGCTGTGGAAGATAAGAAAATGAGTTAACACAACTGACTCCATGATGGAAGTGCCATTCAGGCTGTAAAACTCAGCACACAGACAGTACCACCAGCCAACAAAAACCTAGACCTAATCCATCAAAGTCCATGGCTCTGGGAAAGTCTCTAAATGTACTAACCCTGCTTTTGGGGCTCTGAGTTCTGCTTCTGGCTAACTCTTCTTGTTAACTGAAGTATGTCAACCAGGATATGGCTTTGTGCTTAGAAGCTCACCCTGAGAAAGGTCCAGTGCTACACTGAGATCTTAAACACCCAGTGTAAAGACTTTATTGGCTTAAACTCATATCCAAACAGTCTTCTCTGGTGGATATGCCACAACAGTGCTGGTCAAGGACCACACAGAACTGGGCATAGTGCTTGGAAACTGGAGTGACTAGAAACAAAGGGCGGATCATGGATTTGAAGTCATAGATTTTAAGATGTAAGGTTATGGAATGTCTAGTAGATATAAGGTGAAAGGTAGAATTAAAAAGTTGTCCATTCTTTTCTTGTTGTTTTCCCTTTGAGGAAAATTAAAAATGTTTGGACTGTAAACAGAGAGGCTGGGCCAGGTGTGACTAAACTCTGAGTTTCTGAGCATAGAGCTGGCACTGAGCAGGAACCACTGGTGTTGTGGAATATTTAACTATGTAAAGGTGTGTTGCATTTGTTTATGCTACATTTGTTTAACTATGTAGAGATGTGTTGCATTTGTTTATGCTGCATTTGTTTAATTATGTAGAGATGTGTTACTGTTTTACCTTGCCTGCCTAAGGCTCCTGATTGGTCTAATAAAAAGCTGAATGGTCAACAGCTAGGCAGTAGAGGGATAGGCGGGGCTGGCAGACAGAAAGAATAAGGAGGAAGAATCTAGGCTTGAGAGAGAACACGAGGTAGAGAGGGAGACACCCGGGGTCAGCCAGGCAGGCAGCTGCCAGACAGACAGACACAGAGTAGGACATACAGAATGAAAGAAAGGTAAAAGGGGCTGAGGCAAAATGTACATGAGGAGAAATAGGTTAAATTAAGTTATAAGAGCTAGTGGAACAAGCATAAGATAAGGCCAAGCATTCATAACTAATATTAAGTCTCTGTGTCAAGGTTTGGGAGCTGGTTGGCAGCCCAAAGAAAGCCTGCTACATATTGGTTCTCTCTGTGAACAGCAGAAGTGATTCTCACTGCACTCTAGTTTTCTCATCTGTAAATGTTGATGAAATCAGCAGATCATGGGTTGGAATTTGTCTGGCCGAAAGTAAGCATACAGTGTTTGGTGTAACAATCCCCAATATGCATGCTGGGTAGGAAAATATTCTGGTCAATGTGTACAAACTGGTTCCTGGTATGGCAACTAAGCTAAACATATTCTTTGCTGTGGCAGTGCTGTGGATATCAGTCTGTATAAATAAAATGCTGATTGGTCAGTAGCTGGCGGGAAGTATAGGCGGGACAAAGAGTGGAGAATTCTGGGAAGTGGAAGGCTGAGGCAGAGAGACACTGCTAGCTACCGCCATGACAAACAGCACATGAAGATGCCGGTAAGCCACGAGCCACGTGGCAAAGTATAGATTAATAGAAATGGGCTGAACATAAGAGTAAGAGCTAGACAATGATAGGCCTGAGCTAATGGCCAAGCAGTTTAAATAATATAAGCGTCTTTATGTTTATTTTACAAGTGGGCTACGGGACTGCTGTGACTTGGCGGGACCCGGAGAAAAAACTCTCCAGCTACACTTTGCCCCTATGGCCTCCAATTCCGCTCAGTTACAAAAGCTCATTTCCATGTCTGTGAACATGTTCATGGTGCATGGTCATGGGGAGGCTGAAGGACAACCCTGGTGTCATCCTCAGGAATGCCATCTGCCTCCTTTAAGTCTCTTATCAGCCTGGGTGCACTAATTAGGCTACACAGGAGCTAGAATTCTCCCTTCTCCATCTCCTCAGCACAGGGAGTACATGGGTTCCGAGGAACAAACTTAGGTCTTCATGCTTGTGTTTTACTGACTGAGCCATTCCCTCAGCCACCAATTCCACTCTTGGGTATAGTCCCCAAATAAATGTATATGTTTACTGAAAGAAACATATTTGGATATTCCCCAGTGGAAATCATTCAAAAATGAAAACTATTTTTTACACATAACAGAATCTTACCAATATAATGATAAGTTTATAAAAAGGTAAACACACTATACTGTACAGGTCTGGAGAAAATTCAAAATTCAAATTCAATGACATCTTTGTCAGTATGAGTGAATCCTTTTACTGGGCGCAAAGGGAGTATGGGGTGCCCTGGGAGCGTTGTGTTTGGTTGATCGATCTGGGTAACAGCTCTGCAGTGCAGTGTGCATTGTATTGGTGAACTGTCATGTGCTATGGGAGCGCATTAAGTGGACCCACAAGTGGAGTGGGCCCTCCATTCCAGACCCAAACATGTTTGTCTCAATCTGTCTTCCGCAAAGCCCTGTCTGAGGGAAGGCTGATCCCTCTAACTCTATAACTAGGAGAAAGGAAAACAGCAAGAAGCTAAGTGTGCTTACAACCACTGTGTCCAGGAGGGGGACTGGAGAGATGACTCAGTGGTTAAGAGCACTTTCTGCTCTTTCAGAGGACCTGGGTTCAATTCCTGGCACCACTCAGTGATTCACAACTGCCTGCAACTCTAGTTCCAGGGTTTCCATCGCCTCTTCTGACCTCCAAGGGCTTCTATGTGCACATGGTGCACACACATACACATAAATAAAAATAAAATTATAAACACAATGTGTGTGGGCCAGTGAAGTGGCTTAGTGGGTAAAGGTGCTTGGCCGAGTTTGATTTCCAGGACTTAGATGGCAGGAGGCAAGAACTGATCTGCAAGTTCTAGTATGGGCATCCCACCCCCAGAATAAAAAATGTAAAGCAACAGCAGCAGCAAACCCTTGTGTCCTTGTGCACGGCGGGAAGGCACACACTTGCACCAGAGGCTGCCGCTGTTTACCCAGTGGTATAAAAATGGCTGAAGTGGGAAACGGGAGCCCAAGCTCAGCCGTGGTGAGAGTCCCCTACCCAGCTGGAACTCTCAGCCAAGCAGAGGTGGTTTCTGCCAGGCGACTGGAGGCACCAGCTTTGATGTTATCTACCTGCTGCAAGCATTTGTTCTTTTCCTTGGAAGCCTCGCCTGAGAGGGTACTCTGTTCCAGCCAAGTGAGCCTGGCTGCCTCAACGGGGCTTCCCGAATCATTTTTGATGGATGACTGACTGTAAGTGCCCAATCTGATGATGTTATCTGTATGCGTTTGTTCTTCTTGGAAGCCTCCACCAAGAGGATACTCTGCCCCACCCGGGGCTTTCCAGTGGGGATTCCAGCTGCCTTGATGGGGCATCTCTAGTCATCTCCGCTGAATGTTATAAACTCACAATTTGATGATGTTTCATTATCTGCTATTTGCTATTTTTCTTTTGATATATATACATATATAGCTATTTATATACACCCACATATATGGACTGAAAAACAGGATAAGGCCCTGGGCCCAATAGTTTTTAATTTTTTTCCCCTCCAAAAATAGAGTTTCCAATTCTTGGTAGGGTTTGCACCCAGCAGTAAGTTTCCATTTCTCTGAAACATATACCACTTTCCCCCATATATTGTGGGCCTCTCCATACCTGTTACACCACAAAAAGGAGAGAACACTGGGGTGCCCACTCTTACCTTAGCCAATCAACAATTCAGTTATTTCCGTGCTCGTAGACCAAGACAAAGGCCTGCTTACCGAAGGGACACATAAACATCATTAGCTCAATGGAAGAAAGGAGCGGCAGTCACCAGGTGGGACACCGTAAACCCAAATAAAACCCCAACCTCCCTTAACGGTCAGAGGTCGCCCTCCCTCCGTATCTGCATTGCTTGCCAATAAACTTGACTTTTACTTTGTGTGGAACTCTTTTCCTGCTTTTTAATTCTTCAACTGACGGAGGAAAGGAACCCACCTGCTAGCCAGTATCACAGCTATCATAGATCGTTCTCTACAGTTTGTGCAGACTTTTGCTTATTTCTACTCTAATAAAAAGTTTACTTAACAAACACTGTAGCTGTTGTGAAGTGTGGTAGTGTATGTCCCTGTACCAGGAGCACAGACAGATCTAGGTTCCAACCATGCTTTGCCATCTCTGCCTGTTCCTCAAGTGACTTTAGGGCTTGACACCTCTTTCCTTCTCTGTAAAAGAGAACATAGTACATACCAAGAATTTTAGCTGGGCTCGCTTAGCACATCAAAGGCCCCAAGCTCCATTACCAGCACCTGGGAGGGAAATAACAATAACAACAACAACAACAATAATAATAATTCAACAGGAGGCTGGAGAGATGACTCACTCAGCCTGTAACTCCAGTGCCACAGACTCCTACGCCCTCTTCTGGCCTCCGTTGTACTGCATCCATGTGCACAAACTCACGCTCTAACACACACACACACACACACACACACACACACACACACACACACACAATTATCAATAAAATCCTTTCAAAAAAGATTTATTTATATTACTTTTACTTACGTGTAGGTGTGTGTATCTGCAAGTGGGGATGTGCGCTTGAGAGCAGGTGCCCGCAGAAGCCAAAGGAGTCAGTTACCTACGCTGGGGAGCGGCCCCACGTCTACGCTGAGACCCGAACTCGGGTCTTCTAGAAGAGCATCAAGTGCTCTTCAGCGCTGAGCCATCTCTCCGCCCACCTCCACCCCCACCCCCACCCCCAGTGAAGAAGAAAGAGAAGAGGAAAAGATTCGACAGGACCTGGCAGTGCTCTAAAGCACCCGCAGCTGCCTCATTTTCTCCAGCTTTGGTGCGATCTGATTGGCTCCTCGCCGTTCTGTGGCCTTTGCTTCTCCCTGCCGGTGGCGGCCGGAGGACTGTCAGAAGAGATTCCTCTGTAGAACCGAACTCAGGTCTCGTAACTCAGCTGAATCTTGAGAATGCCCTCTAACAAATCTCTGGAGACTGTCTTCAAGAGCAACGCGGCCGCGCCGCCTACTGGAGAAAAATCCCCACGACGCGCGAGCCGCCGCGGAGCAAGACGGCGCCGAATGAGAGCTGCTGCGCACGCGCAAACCACCTCGCGGGCCCGCGCAAAGCACGGGCGCACGACTTAGGGGCGGAGCCCAGGACCCAGTCTTTCCCGCCCTTCCTGCGATTCCCGCCCATCCTGTCCGCCCTCGGCCATACCTTAAACTACGTTTCCCAAGATGCTCTATGCGAAGGACTTCCGTTGGCGTCAGCGGAAGCCGTGACTAGCCGGGCTGCACGGAGGCCGGCTTGGTCACTATGGAGGAGATAGGCATTTTGGTGGAGAAGGTTCAGGTGCGGTGGGAATCTGGGTTTCTTTGCGCGAGCTAGGCCTAAGTGGCGTGCTGAGTGAACTCCAGGAACCCAGGTCGGGACTGGGTGGTTTCAGAGGCCTCGGGGTAGAGCTTTGAGTGGTCCCGAGGCCTGGCTGGGTGGCCGTGTTATCAGGAGGGCGGCAGAGCTCAAACTAGCAGAGCGGCAGAGGAAAGTGGCGTTAAACTTAAAGACTCTTTAAGACCGAGCGATTTCGAGGCCTGGATAGCTGTGCTTAGTAGCTTTTCGGTTTGGGGGTTGGACCAGGTGGAGAATGATGTAGTGGGACCCTGTGGCCTAGGTATATCCGTGGCCAAGTGGCTAGTGGACTGACTGTAGTTGGGGCTTGGACGGGGAGGCGTTATGTTAAGTATTATTTGTGGCTTGGCTGAGTGACCTTTGGCCTTAATGTGAGTTGGGAGCCTGACATGAAAGCTTTGCCGGGGAAACTGAGTAATGAAACTCTGAATGTGCTCTGACCTTAAAAACCATGTGAACCTCCTGAGGGGACCAGGATGCTGGGAACTGATATCGGAGTTTGCTGTAACATTTGCATCCTAGTTAGGGGGCATCATAATAGCAGATGGGAGATGTTGACATAAACAGTTTAAGGGGCCTGATAGGAGAAACCTACAATGGGGATTGAGCAGTTCCTGTATTCATTTAGAGAACTCGAGTTAGGTCAGGTGCTGGAGGCTGAGTGACTTGGTGAAATGGGAAGAAAGTACTGTAGTTGATTTCATGAGATGATTCTCTACTTCCAACACCAAGTTGTCCTTTTCATCTATAGGATGAGATCCCAGCACTGTCTGTGTCTCGGCCCCAGACTGGCCTGTCCTTTCTGGGGCCTGAACCCGAGGACTTGGAGGACCTGTACAGTCGCTACAAGGTATGGTCAGCCCTGACCTGGACCCTCGTAGGGCCCCCATCACAGACTGCCCCCACCTTCCAGTCTGGTACAGCAAGGCCTACAGACAGCCCTTTGCTCTGCTTACAGAAGCTGCAGCAGGAGCTGGAGTTCCTGGAGGTCCAGGAGGAGTATATCAAAGATGAGCAGAAGAATCTGAAGAAAGAATTCCTCCATGCCCAGGAGGAAGTGAAGCGAATCCAGAGCATCCCATTGGTCATTGGTCAGTTTCTGGAGGCTGTGGATCAGAACACAGCCATCGTGGGCTCTACCACAGGTGAGTGGTCGGGCAGGTTGGGGGCGCCTCACTGGTTCTTCTGTCTGTCCAACACCTGATTCTTCTGTAGGCCAGGAACTGGGAATTGTCACGTCCTAAGAATAGCAAGGCAGGGTGATGAAATGGCCAGAGGATTGACTAATCCAAAAGAAGATATGTATTTTATTTCCTGAATGGCTCTTTCCGCCTCTCAATTCATGTATGCATATATATAAAAGTTTCACTAGCCAGGTAATGGTGTGCACCTTTAATCTCAGCACTGAGAAGGCAGGGACAGGAAGATCTCTGTGAGTTTGAGGCCTGCCTGGTCCACATAGTGCATTCCAGAACTACACATAGAGAGACCCTGTTTCTAAAAAAAAAAAAGTCCAACATGATTATTTACCCTGTATGTGGTGTACCGCTGATGTTTCTGTTGTAGTCTGTTTGACTTAAACGAGCTTATGGTCATGACCCGCTGAGTTTATTTCACCACCACTGCTGGGTTAGGAGCTGCAGTTTGAAAACACTGGCAGCAGGTTAAAACTTGGGGCTCTGGTTTGGGCTCAGCATACAGTAACTGCTGTCGATGAACAGAAATCCAGGCCCTGCCCTTACACCTGCCTGCTTCTGGCCACTGCTGCTCCGGACTGAGCCATATGCTTAGAAAGGTTCTAGATAGAGGTGTATGATCACTTGGGCTTGGACAGATGGGCTATGAGGAAGCACGGGGAGAACGATGTCCAGGATGAGGACTGCAGACGGTGGAGGCCCCCTGAGATAGTGTGGTTGGAGGGGTGGGTTTGCAGGGAGACAGTGAGGGAAGTTGAGGTTGTTTTGGGAGATGTCTAGCTTCATGTTTTGCTGTGCATTACTAGTGTAACTGTAGGGAGTAAATTGGAGAAGAGGGATGGAGGCCGCTAACCAGGGATTCATGCAGAGACTTAGACAGAATATCGCTATGGTTGTAGAATAGGTGATACCAAAGGAGGGGCTGGTTGAATAGATTGGGAGGTTGTGTGGAAAGTCACAGTGAGTGGGGGCTCTGAAAGGATGGAGAGAAGGGTCCAATATGAGGTTTATTCCTCTGACTGGGAACTCAAGAACAATGGGTGTCCTTGAGACGGATCCAGGAGAAATAGCACAGTTTAGAGAAAAATAGCAGGATTGTGTTGGGACACATTGAACGATACCCAGGGACATCCAGAAGATGGCGTATGGTCACCAAAGCTGGACCGCAAGAGAGAATCAGGGCTGTAGACAGACAAGGAACTCATAAGTGTGAGCATGGGGTGGATTGGAGGAGGCAAAACTGGAGGCCCAGAGGGTCCAGATGTGAAAACTTAGAAAGTGCCACCTGTGGTGTAAAGGGAATTGGGGAAGGAACAATGTCACGTCTCTGCCCCTTTTCATTCTCTTTTTCCTTCCTTTCCACAGGCTCCAACTATTATGTGCGCATCCTCAGTACCATTGATCGGGAACTGCTCAAGCCCAATGCCTCAGTGGCCCTGCACAAACACAGCAATGCGCTGGTGGATGTGCTGCCTCCTGAGGCCGACAGCAGCATCATGATGCTCACCTCAGGTGAGGGGGGCACCCAGGGCCCTGGGAGTCCCAAGGGGACCCTGTGGGCCAAACTGGAAGCTGCAGCTCTACTCTCCCAGCAGACCAGAAGCCAGATGTGATGTATGCAGATATCGGAGGCATGGACATCCAGAAACAGGAGGTGCGGGAGGCCGTGGAGCTCCCGCTCACACACTTCGAGCTCTACAAGCAGGTGAGGGCAGGGAGAGGCCTCGCTGGGCCTGGGGTTGGTGACAGGATTCCTGGCTCATCCTTTCCCACCTCCCTCAGATCGGCATCGACCCTCCCCGGGGTGTCCTCATGTATGGCCCACCTGGCTGCGGAAAGACAATGTTGGCAAAGGCTGTGGCACATCACACGACAGGTGAGCCCCTCGTTGCCTCCCCGGTGCTGTCATGTGCCCTGGACTCCTCACCTTGCCTCCTGCTTCCTCGGGTTTCGTGGGAAATGGCATAGCACAGTACCTGTAATATAGGCTCTGGGGACAGGTGGGGGGGTCTCTTGTCTGCTGTACAGTCTGGGCAGGTGATTTCACCTCATTGTTCCTCAGTTTTCTCAAAATTAAAAACCAGTGAGGTGTGGTATCACACGCCTTTAATCTCAGCACCCAGGAGGTAGAAGCAGGTGGGTTACTGTGCATTCAAGGCCAGCCTGGTCCATATAGGCAGCCCTGGCTGCCAATGCTAAATAGTGAGACCCTGTGTGTTCAATAAGGGCAAATTGAAAAGAAAAAAAAAAAGTCTTATCTAGAAATGCTGGCAAATATGCTTAATTCTGACTCAGAGACTGAGGCAGTAAGATAAGAATTTGAGACTGTCCTGGGCTACCCAGCAAGACCTTGTTCAAAACAAAAAAACAAACAAACAAAAAAACAAAAACACCCTCATTCCGGAGGGTGATTGCGGAGGGTGATTGCGAGGAGTCGGTAAAATAATACAGTGTATTTCTTATGGTGGGTTCAGACTCAGTGCTTATAACCGCAAATGCTGAGCCGAAGCCAAGGGGGTAAGTGATTAGAGAGAGTACAGTCCACAGACCACTCTGGAAGCAGGGTGGACAGGAGGGTGTCCTGGATGTGCTGTCCATCCTGCATGGGCCCCTCAGGAGAAGTTCCCAGAGGAAGCAGATGTGAGGAGGATGTGTCGGGCACAGAGAGTGGAAGAGGGAACTTAGGTCAGACACAGTAATGTGTGCAAAGGCCCAGCGGTGGAGGCCTTAGAGACATCACGGGGAGACTATAGATCCCACTAGTGCAAAGCCGAGCTTTTGGGTTTTCCTGCTGCGTGACTGGCGGAGTAGGGGCTGTGTTTGGCAGCACATAGGGGGTGAAGCTGAAGAGATCGTGAGGTGCCTGATTATAAATAGACTAAAGTATTTTTAGTCTAAAATCCAACAGCCAATCAGAAGACTTGGTTTAGAGACCCCTATTATTAGCCTCATGCTGTGTGCTTAGGGATGGATAGTGAAGGGGTGGCAGCGTTGAGATTTGCTAATGAAGTAGGTGTAATTGGCGAGAGGTAACTCAAGAGCACTTCTCAGTCCTGGCTTAGGCTATCCTGGAGTTGTTGTTGACTTTGACAGGATAGAGAGGTGAACTGGGGTAGAGGAGCAGTGGATTTGCTATGGGACACATGAGATTTCATGACCAGGGAACATTCAGCTAGAACTCTAAAACATGGATGCACTGTCCCACTTTGATTTGGGCTGTCAGTGGAGATTTGGATTCATCGATGCATGTCCTCTCTAGTTGTTTCTGTGAGTGTAAGCCTGGGTTTGGAAAGGTGAGATAAAAATGGTAATAGCAGTGGTAAATACAACCACAGTGTTAGCTAGACGTCTGTAATGTTCTTTAGCTAGACGTCTATAATGTTCTTTAGGCAGATGTCTGTAATGTTCTTTAGGCAGACGTCTATAATGTTCTTTAGGCAGATGTCTGTAATGTTCTTTAGCTAGACGTCTGTAATGTTCTTTAGCTAGACGTCTATAATGTTCTTTAGGCAGACGTCTG